TGTGGAGTACTTAGCATTTTGTACAAAACTATCGAACCCAAGAAAAATTGCCTGGTTTATGCTAGGATATATATATATTTATTTATACGAGGACAGTGGACATTGGATGTGTCCTTGAAACAGTTGCTAGGTTATTGCATTCACATTCGAAAGGATCTAACGTTTAAACCGTGCCCGTTTTCGTGTCACATCGTAAAATAAGATGTTGTGTGATCGGGAACTATCTAACGGATGGACGAGCCTCTAGAAATTGTACTCATGAATCATTCTTCAAGACCTGATTACGTTCAAGCAACACGTTTGTTGACTGTATTTCTAGTCGTCTTATATTATAATCGCTTAGAGAGAGAAGAATTTTAAACGCTTAACTTTTAAACTGACTAGCTAACAAATTCGTTAACTAGTTGTTTAGAAAGCAAAATTTAGATATTGTCTTAATTTTTTGTGTTCTGTAAATTTCAGAATTCACAAGAAGATTATTTTGATTCCCAATAGTCAAACATGACTTACGAAAAGGAATAACCAGTGGGATATTTTTCATGTCCAATCTCGTTTTCAATAAACATTTTTTAAACGTGCGCTTACTTTTTAACCCTTTGATCAAGTATTGAGAAAGCCTGTTTGATTTTAAATTCACTCGAAATTATAGTGTACTTATAAGTACATATACTTAATTAATAATACATAACATGTCCTTTCTTTTGTGAATCTTTTTAAATCACAATAAGACTTGGCAACTAAAATTAAAATACATAACGACCGATGTTTTGGCATCTGCTAACTACTCATAATGTTGTACAATATGACGTCTTTTCTTGTCACTAAATTTCTTTAAACATGTACCATTTTTAACGTTGATTGCAGTTGTCATGTAGTGCGTTATGGAAATAACGGCGAATACAGGAGGCGTTTGGGGTTATGCCAAAAGTGTGTTAAAAGTTGAAGCAAAAATAGATAAATCAGCGCTTATTGAAGCAAAAAATAGACAATTCAGCTACATTTAAAACACAGAGCGACACAAAGAGAAAAATCAGTATTATTTCCCCTCGACAGGCGAAAAATCACACATTTTAGCGCGTTCTTCCATTATTTTTTGTTTGCCATGTCACAGGTATTCAGTGTTTCACAACGCTTCTACCAGTAACACCTTCTAATATGTTTCGTTCCCACCAAGAGAAATCAAAGACAGAGTCGAGGAGATCGGAAGAGTATATTTGGCGATGACCAATATACCGGGAATCTCTGATCTAATCTGGCTAGCGATTGTGGTTGATGTGAGCACGGCGTTACTACACGTGATCTGGTGCGGATGCCTGACCGAGCGCCTTCAGCTAGATGAGTCCACTAAAACATATGGTCAGCATCCAATGTCGAAAACTTACAGAGCTATTTATTTTAGGGATTTATTTACCGCTACAGATCACTCCCCCCCTAGTGGGCAGTGACGACCCTAAGACGTGGCCAGCCAGATTTAAACCAACGAGTTTGTCGTTGGTAAACACTCTTCTGATAGCTTACTAAATTTAGCAGCGTCTGGTCGTCTTTCCTGTAGTCGTGATGTGATGTGTAACATTGCTGGTTACACACGGTAGTTTCGTTTGCGTTTGTTGTATCCCAGGGTACTTATCGAGTAGTGGTTGTAGAGTGGGTCTATCATAGTTTAACTGTGACTGGGGATACTCTACAACCAGTAAAAGAAGTTCGCAAACGGACAAATTAGTGTTTCCGTCTACTAGCCTCCGTTTGCGAGTGTCGATGATCAGATTGTGGTGTTGTAGAAGGTCCATACCAATGATTGGCATAGAAACATCTGCAACGACGAAAATCCAGTGGATGGGTTTGCGTAAACCCACGTTAAGGTAAACGTACCTTTTGCCATACGTAGCGATCGGTTTTCCGTTTGCCGCCTGTAAGTTTAGGGTCGATTCGTGAAGTCGGTCGTTAGGATTTGCTGGGAGAACGCTAACTTCTGCGCCAGTGTCGACGAGGTAGCGAACTCTCGTTGTCACATCTGTGACGAATAACAGACGGCTTTGTTCGCCGGCTACGGTTGCCGTTAACGCGTGCCGGCTTGGAAGTTTCCCGAATCAGTCGGTTTCGTGTTGGGAAAATTGCAGGGTTTTCTGCAATTTCTGGAAAACTTTCCATACTGGTTATGATACCAGCACCAGTCGGGGTTATCTGTCTCTCGTGGTCTAGAGACAGATCGCTTACGAGAAATGCTTCTACGTGGTGTGCGCGATCTCTTACGGTCGGTACGAAGACTAAGATAACGCGTGAGTGTGTGACATAAGTCGGTTATGTCATTCTGAGTCGTGTGAGGCTTTTCTTTGACTGAAAATACCTCGGTAGTAGAAGGTTTCGTAATTTCTAGAATGCGGTCGGCAGATACAGCTAGTTCGTCTAAGGCGTTGTTCTGGAACGAGACCAGAACTGCTTGCACCTGTTGGGGAAGTTTTGACAAGAAGAGTTGTTTGAATAGACCTTCGTCGAAAGTTCTTGGGCCTATAACCTCTCTCATCCGTTGCAACATGTCCGTCGCAGAACCGTGTTGCAGGTCGATATTGTTGAAGAGTTGATCTAACCTTTGTCGATCGGTTAGGTCTCCTCGTTTAAGAATCGAGCGTTTTAAGATTTCGTAAGGATCGGAAACATCACTAGTAAACATACTAGGTGTTACGTACCTGTTGAATTCCCGCGGCAGTGCCTTGACTACTGCGAGGAATTGTGCACGTGTGTCGATCACGCCGTGCTCGGAAAAGTCGGCTTCTGCGTAGCAAAACCAGGCTTCGATGTTGTCGGGCCAGAAAGGCATCAGTTGAAACGAAGGTGGGGACAAGGTCTTAAGCTTGAGTACTTTAGGTGTCTGTTCAGTCATGATGAAATATGAAGTACGATAATGAACGAGGGGAAAAAATATATATATATCCAAGAAAAACACGAAAAAAAATCACAATGTTTAAAAAAAATAAAAAATAAGGCAATGATATATAAAAATCCCAAAAAGGAACAGACTCACAGTTGCAATAAGGTGTACCAGATCACGACGGTCTCACCAATGATGATGTCACAGGTATTCAGTGTTTGACAACGCTTCTACCAGTAACACCTTCTAAGATATTTCGTTCCCACCAAGAGAAATCAAAAGACAGAGTCGAGGAGATCGGAAGAGTATATTTGGCGATGACCAATATACCGGGATTCTCTGATCTAATCTGGCTAGCGATTGTGGTTGATGTTGAGCACGGCGTTACTACACGTGATCTGGTGCGGATGCCTGACCGAGCGCCTTCAGCTAGATGAGTCCACTAAAACATATGGTCAGCATCCAATGTCGAAAACTTACAGAGCTATTTATTTTAGGGATTTATTTACCGCTACACTTTCATTTCCCATTTATTGGTTGCTTGAGTTGTCTTTGAATACATACATAGGTTTATATGTACACTTTCCTTTCGATACTTTATTGTTTGTAGAAAATACACTGGTTCATTGATTAAAAATACTTTTAGCCCCCTTAGTTTACGCTAGTTTTCCTGCAATAGCTTTCAACTTTTGTTTTACTCCGGCTTTTTAGCATTTACATAGTAGTTCAAAATAACATGTAGCCTTTGTCTCTTCGAGATAATATAGTGGAATAATTTACTGTCGTTTTTCGTGTTGTGGCAAACTAAACGCTCATCCCTTATCTACGCATCAGCCAGTCAGCTACAACGTAGAACCAGGCACATTTATGCATCGGTCCAAGTTGCCATACCTCATTAACACAACAAGATGGACACCGGATTCATAAAAGTAGTTAATTCAGAGGTGGTAATATGTAAAAGAAAGATTGTAATAAGGATATAGTACACGAAGAAAGAATTAATTCGTAGAAAGAAAGATATGAAGCAATTTTAATCTCTTAGTTTAAGGGAAGACAGAGAGTGTATACACCGACGCCATTGTGATCGATTATGGGCCATGTCACACAGAGTCTCCAACCATTGGTTACGACAGTCACGCAGACCCCAACCAAGTAGTCTGCATCTACCAACATGGCTCAGACTAGAAGTCAGTGACTTCAAGCACTGATGCCACGTTTTGGTTTGGCCGCCCCAAACTTTCTTCCAACCATCTCCAACACCGGTTAGCATTGCACGTCGTGGTAATCGGTGTTCGGGCATACGTAACACGTGGCCCAACCATCTCAGTCGATGAAGATTCACAACCTCATCGACTGATTTACCATCCTATCTACGCATACCTCATACTTAGTTCAGTGATGAAAGATATTTATGTATTCCTCAACCTATATAACAGTAAAAGTAGTAACGTAGTCCCTTTAATATCGAAAGAAATGTGTAGATCGAGTTTCAATGCGTGCTTACAGAGTAAAAGGGTAGCTAGAGGTAATCACTTCTAAAACCTTTACTTACTAGTTGAAATGACGACTTTCGTACTGTGATAAAGTTTATTAGTATGTATTTGTTACTTAAAACTGACGTTTTGAATGGATTCTTTAATAGAGGAGTGAATCTTGGGTGCTCTAGAGGTCTTCCATTGAAAGTTACCGAAAATCTAAACGAGACTCTGTTAATGATCACTAGTTTGAATTACCATTTTTGTTAGGACGTAGATAGAAGTACTTTCAAATCGTTATTCTAAATTTTGTGATGTAACGTGGAAAACGTTGCTCAACTTCGTCCGCAAGCATTAGCAAGTTGTTAAACAATTAAGTGGAAACTAATGACCATTGGTATCAATTATTGAATTAATTCAAAAAATATTTTTCACCTAAATATTTATTTAACAGTAAATTACGAACAAACCATACCTTATTTAGTGTACAAACTGGTTTTACTGAAGTTCCATTTCTTGATAACATCTGTTTAGCGATTTTCAGATACCTAAGCATAAAGCTGCACAAACGATTGTCAAACTCGTGGCTGATTTTGTTTGGAAGCCAACTTCTTCGTTCTTTTCAACAAAGTCTCTCAAAACATTTTTTAGTTCATAAGATGGATACAAAAACAATTCATTCCGATGAGGTAAATTTTAAACTTTCAAGTTTTTTGAAAGTAAAACATACTATTAATAGGGTAGTTAATCATTATAAATATATTTAGTTGTCTCAGCACCGGTAAAATCGAGCTTATACTACGAATATATGTGTAGAGTTGTCTAACTTAGTCATGTTTTGTTTGAAATTTGTGTTGTACGCTGAAACATTTCTGTCTTAATAGTTTTTATAGAAGCAGTCTTACATGAATAAACGTCATTAATGTTTCCCAAAAAATGAAATGTATTTTACTAATATATATATATATATATATATATATATATATATATATTTGCTGCACCCCAATGAGTAGAAAATGGTATTATTGACGTTTCTCAACTCAGTGTAATTCTTTTTTTCGGAGTAAATGAATAACCAAAATAAAATTAACGCAAGTCCAAATAGCTTGAATAGTACTCTGAACAGGTGCATTACATTAAGCCACAAAACATCAAAAATACAGTTTTCTACTCATTAGGCTATAAAAAATGTTTATCATCAACTTTCTGCCCAATGCCCAATTTATTTGAAACTATCGAGTCAAACCTTGGCATTATTACTTACATTTTACTTGGGAGACATATGATTTTAAAATATAATAGACAGAATGATGAAGAACTTCCAATATCTAAGAATCTGACCGCTAGCACAGGATAGTCTAACCTTCGGTTTTGGTTATGTAGCTTTTATTCTTAGTCGGAAATGTATTTTTGTCATTTTTATAACACCATAAAAACACTAAGTTGTGCTTCAAAGAACAGCTTGATATTACGAAGGATGTTTCATCATCTAATGCCTCTTAGTTAGTATGTGTTTGTGTATTATGTACTCAACTTTATAGTTTAGCTCAAATAGTGCAGTATCTTACATTTAAGGAACTAATGTTTCTGTTCTCACATCAATTCTTCTGTTGTATTCAAACCTGTCTAGCAAATAATTACTATCTTATTTCAGATTTACTAAAATTCAGGTCAGAAATTTAGCATTTTGCCACAATGATGAAACGTTTTTATCCAGCTTTATCAGTCCTAAAAACATTTGAGTGTAATTCCAGTTACTGCGTGACAGTGAAAAATTATGGACAAACATTTGATGATGTCAAGATCATCTAACAATCTAACAAGTGTTAACGAAGAACCCCGATAGTAGGAGAAATATTTCTGTGTACTTCATAAAAATTACGCCTGTGTCGTAGTACAATTTTTTATCAGTGTATTACTGGCAGAAGACCTTATTTTGCAAATCTTATTACTCCTGATAAACTAACAGATTGAGAGATCCTTATCCCTAATATCGGATGATATCAGATTGAAGACTGATCTTATTCAATAAATAGGGGGATAAACTAACTCATGCGACAAAAATATTCGGCTGTTTAGGCTTTATCACCCAAACTATTTCATCAGGTCGTATTAATCTGATAGAAACCAATATAAAGGTTTATTATTAGGCTGTAATTAAGACTGATTACGAAAGTCTTAGTCGACATACTGGTAAAATATACTACTATAATAACAAATGTCATCTCATCGGAATATTTTGTCACAATTTGCTGTCTAAACGCCACATCAAATAACTCAAAATTATGACATTATGAAAATATTTTCTGGAAAGATGCTCATTAATTCCTCTATATTTGTTTTGAACGTCCAACTAACTAAACATTAATTCAATTATTTTCTCAAGAAAGAATTTCCAATTTTTGTCTTTTAGTTATGTGATTCGTCATCTATTAATGGGTTGGTAATAGATGCACCTAGAAAATTCGGATGTTCTCTTCAAAACATCAAAAATCTAGAAGAAGACTTGATTGATACTTTTAATGAGTTTGATTCAAATGAGCATGTAAAACTTGAAAAACTAATGTGTTCAGGAAAAAATTCCTCAACAGAGTCTTTGTATCTTGAAGAACTGTTAAAGGCATTAGAAAAAGCCGGCTTGAAGTACGAAGATTATTTAAAGGTGAGTTAGTTAATTTATACCTGAGAAACTTTGTTTTCTCGAAGATTCAGATATGTATTTAATATTGTTTAGGTTAGAAGGTTTTCATTTAGTTTAGTTAACTTGTAATAAAGTTCTATATAAAATAGGTTGCATATACATTGTTAGTTAGGAAATTCAAGATGATTATTAAAAACCCAAATGTAACTTGGTTAACTGAATGGACACTCAGTGCAGATATGTATGAACTTCATAAATGTCCTGAAAACCGTGAGCGTTATGTTTGTTTGGCTGGTAATCCACAGACCCGTTAAAAACACTGAATGTTTTTAAAAAATTGAAAAAAGATTCATTCAAATGTTAAGTCATTCGGTAAAAAAACTTTGGATAAATTCTTTGATTTACGTAAACACGCTTGAAATAAACTATAATGATGCAGTTTTGTTTAATTTTTTGGTATAACTGAGAAATAAATCTTTCGAATAAATCAAAGCAGCACACATCAAATTTTAAATTTTATCATTTCATAGTACTCTTTGATAATAAGGCTTACTCCAACCCTATGACGTAGAGTTAATAATCTGTTCACGTTACGGAAGTTCGATCAAATAACATCTTTTTTTAGCCAAAGGTGTTAAAAAATGTGCCACTTATTATTGTGGTGGAGTATGTAGTTTGAGTAAATCCATAAATTTCCACTGACTTACATCACATCTGTAAGTTGATAATTATGATAATTGCATATAATATATTTCATTATTTTTTAATTTAAGACTATGGATGATTTGAAAAACGACAATGAACCTGGGGAAGATAATCAGACAGATATGGAGTTGGACGGATATATTTTAGAAGCTACTTCCAATCCCTCTAGGAAGTCATGCAATAAAGATATTCTGGACGTTCATCAGAATACACTCCCAGTACAACCATCTATTGTGTCAGGTATATATATGTGTACTCTGTGTTATTAGTGAGAAGACGTTCTTTCACTCACCACAGACCTAGCTAGATAATTATCCCACTCATCTGGCATGTGTATAGAGCCGATTAAGTTTGATTTGTTGATCCAGAGAATCCTTGAATGTAGACAATAGTGGGAAATCAAGATTAAGCGTTAGCGCACGAGATCGAGGGTCCTAGGTTCAATTCCCATGTGCTTATTCGTAGATGTGCACTGAGGAGGCATCCCACATTAGGACTCAATGACCGTCCAGTGCTTTCACGTTTTTAATGGTGACTTAACGCCTATCGGTCCGTGATTTTGGTGAGACTCAACAATCGCTACAACCCTACGTTGAGAATAATTAATCATTTTGAGGCTGAAAAGTATTGGTGTGACTGAATGTATCTCAGTCTCAACTTTTACTAATACCTTAAATTGAATTAAATCTGATAATTAGTCTGTTAAAAACGAACTAAACTCTAATAGAAAGTTTAAACTGACATGATGTTTATTATACTAGATGGGGAGCAGACATATTACATTATTTGTATGTTTAAAGTGCCAGAAAATCTCATAGGACATGCGTAAAATAAGATTTATTTATATTGAAATTTCCAAAAGTTATCTTCGATCATTCGAGAAAATGTGGCATTGTGTCATTCGATGTACACTTTAATATTCCAAGAACTATCTCAAAATATGTGTTTCCAAAATTTTGAATTGGTGACGCTGTACGTGGCAAGAATAATATTTGAGTGACTTACCCAGAGAAAGTATTGTCTCAAAGCAAGTTTGTAAACTACCTATGAGAATGTTTAAATAAAAACAGTGTTATCGGTTTAATTCTCACTAAACCTCATGCCAACTTATTTCACCCGCAGAATACAGGAGATGTTCATCTATCAATCAAAGGACGAATACAATATGACGCAATTATCCGTTTTGTTTTAAGGCTATGAAACGTGGCCTTTAAAAATACAAACATTTGTGGGTCAGTAGTATTTGGGCATAGGTATCTTCGAGACATTGCATGCGCATGTTGGGACCTCAGAATGAGCAATACTAAGGTTAGGCACAGGGTTTTAAGTGTGGATGACAAGTCGACTGAGAGTCTTTATCAGTTGAGGTGGTTGGGACATGTATTACGTACTGTCGACCAACGTTTATCTAAATGCGAGATGATGGGTTGTTCAAGAGTTGGCTGGAAGAAAGCTAGTGGTGGCCAAATAGAAATTTGGCACCAGTCTATGAACTCACTGATAACTGAACTGGGCCAAGTAGGTAGATGCAGATTAACGGTCGGAGACTTTGGTGACATAGCTAAAAATCGGTCACAATGACTCAGGTGTATACACTTTTTGTCTTCTCTTAGACCTCTAATTTCAAGTTTATTATGCTTTTTTCTGAAAATCCAGTGTTTCCTCTTGTTATCTTTTTTACAACTACTGATAGTGTTGATACTTCGAACGATTTATATATGGGTTAGGTCATATGTTACTTATAACTGACATGACCGATTCCCTAGGTAAATAAGCCCGATTTGAGGGACGCTTATTTGGTAACTGGTATATGACTCCAATAGATGAAATTTGATTTTAACTACACCAACAGAAAATGTGCTCAAAATTCTAATTATCTTACTAAAGAAGACTAAATCGCATATTATTTCATCGGCTACTGGATTCACCGTTTTATAAATTTTGTCTCGAGAACAATGAAGAGTATTAGTACTACGAAAGAAATTTAAAATCAAGTTGTTACTTGTGATCTTTGATCAAAACGATCATTAAAGTTAAACACTAATTTGTGAACAAAACTTGTTCAACATTTTATAAACGATGAATAGAAGAACTAAAATAATTAGTTTTCATCTTAAAAATATCGAAATAATATTTTCTGATTAATACAAAAAACTCATGAACGGTGTCTTGAGTATTAGTGCTATTTTATATCCAATATGTATAAATGTTTATCTACTTTGATTTTGTGAAGTCAATGAGTTTTTGATGGTTCAATGAATTGTACCGTTAGGAATTCAGAAGTTGTTAAGGTATTTTGCATGATAGCTAATGAATTACAACTTGGATATCATTGAATCAGTTTCTAGTACTTATGTGTTGACAGAAGTTCGTTAATCTTTTAAGTGACCGTGACACATATCGGCTATCATACTATGTGATAATTGATGATGATTATCAAACACCTGCAGTCAAGCATATGAAATCAAGACTTGATGATCAAAGGACTGAATTTCCACCATTTGTTCGTAAATTTGAACCTAATTCTGTAAACTTCAGTTTAGACAGCCCTGTATTATGTTTATCCTCCTTCTTTATTGAAACCCTTCTAAAATGATAAATTAATTATGTTTTCGCTTCATTCAGGTAATGGCAACACACTTATAGATAATAAATCAAAAATCGAGATTATGCACCAACGATTGAGTAAAGAAATCATGAAGTATGAAAAGGCTGTAAGTTCAACCTGTCGTTGCATATTTTTTGTCCTATTAAGTGTTTAAGTTAGTAAACTTTCTCTTGCGTTCTTTCATTATTAGAATAATCCATGGTGTATAATCTAGTTGTCATCGCACTTAACATTAGGTTAAAGATTTAGTTTCATCCTTACACTTTATCCAGCAAAAGCATAATAATAATAACAATAATGGTGTCAACATCAGCCTACAGGATACTTAAATTCCCTATTATGAGCCAGGCTTTCTGTTTAGTAGCTTGTTGCATATTTACCTCCTATTTTCCCTAGGTTTCGAATCTAGATACTAAATAGCTGAAGGTAACCAGTGGAAACTCGTGGATATGGGTTTTTCGTCCACTCGATATACGTAATCAAGATGCATGTAATCCTCGAGGGCATGGATTACCATAATGACCATCTAATATCAGTGTCAGAGTGCTAATAATAAACTATGAAGGTCACAAGTGAATTCCTGTAGGACGGAGGTGTTCTCATCAACTAGTATCTGAGTAAAAGACAGTGTGATATTGTCTGTTTCTTGGTGCCTATTTAATCCCGTCGGGTTTGAATCCCATGGTGGAAGATTGCGAATACACTTTACGAATGAGCGCTAAACAGCACGAACCTTGAGTTTGGCGCTTTTTGTCGGTGTCATCTTACTATCTAACACCAAACTACGTCTACCGTGATATTGAGTCACAACCTAGTTTTCTCCTTGTAACTCAACTAATAAAATCTAACCAACACTCAATACATGGTTAGTTAACGCTCAGTGATCGATCAATTCATTTCAAACATTATAAATATTGACGTTATTTGTGAAAATTCTATTTGAACTAATCTCAACGATTGAAATTTAAATAGTTCCAACGCTTCGTCCAGCAAACTTGTCTGGACTTCTTCAGGGTAATAATAAAAATCAAAATTATCAAACAATATTTAATAATTTTGATTTAGAAAAGTCAAGATTAGTTTGCTGGACGAAACATTGGTGTTGGGGAGATCCAGAAAGTTCCCCGGAAAAGACCGGGAAAAAGCTGGGAAACATTGTGTCCAATCAGCATTGAATAGAAGTTTCTCAGGAACGCTTAGAAAGTGAGGAGTCACATGTCACATTTCTAACTGAATGATTACCAATCCTGCAACTATGCTTAGTAGGGTTCCAGGACTTTCTAGAAGCCCAAGGCACCTGAAATGCTATAAATACCTTAAATTTTCTGTGCATAAAACAAATCTTGAAACTAGGCGTTTTTTCGATATTTCGCACCTTTTCTCTCGTGTTCAAGTTGTCGTGTACATTTAGCCTGGGGTTACTATAAGAGCTTAAGAAATCTGTTCAAGAGTTCATTTAGAAGATTTACCGGTTGGAATTACTTAAACTTTATTTGCTGAGACTATTTCAAATATAATTTTAACAAATAATGTATTCTCCATATTCGGAGCCCTATTTCTGTCAAACTATTCGTCCCAGTATAGACGAATGCTTGTATCAATTATCAATTTTGTCATCTATTTCAACTGCGATTTTCTTACCAAACACCAAGCAAAATACATTTCCTTTCATCGTATCCTTCAACTTATCTTACAAGAAAGACTTCTAAGTATTTGCAAACTGTGCCACAAGAAAGAATAGTTGGTAAATACTTGTTTTGTAATTGACATGATTTTTCGCTGTACGTTGAAATTACTCACCATTATAATTGTACTGTTTTGACTCGTTTGATTAGAAAATTATTAGGTTTGACAAGTTTTTGATGGAGTTTTGTTCTGTGAACTGGATAGACTTCTATCTGAAGTTTGTGCTGATGATGTCGTTCAGAAGAACGATGAAAGCTCCACGACCAAACCATCCAGCTCAGAGAACGAAACTCCATCAAAATCATCCGCCTGAGCTACAAATCTCCACCATCTCAAAAGGTTTGACAAGTAGATGATATTGCAATTAAAATACACAAGTCAATACTATATTTCAGGTCGTGATGTTTGTAAGAGTGACATATTTTTCACAAATAGTTTTTGTTTTTGACGGTAGATAGATTTTTAAATGAAACTATGTTTGTTTGAATGCACTGTTTGAGTGATTTTTACGAAAAAAACCAATCAGTACCAGTGGATGAGATAAAAAAGAGACTAAGAGTTTCTCATTTCAATTTTACTCAAACTATTCCGTTTTTCTTGTTATACTTTTGTTGATGATGTTCATTGGAGTATATCCTGTTTCTATATATATCAAGTCAAATGAAATGAGATGCTTAAAAAGTCATAAACTAAAAAGAATCTAACAAAAGATGTTAATGGGAATGTCGTCAAAATCTACGAATATAAGAACAATTCAAACCTTAGAAATGATTTACTAATCTAGAAGTATCAAAAAGGATTTTTGTGGATATTATGGTAATTTCAATGGTTGAGATCATGAGTCAATAGAATGAAACGGTCGTCCAGTGCTTCCAGGCTTTCCAGAGTGGTCTAGCTTCAATTGACTCATGATCTCAACTGCTGAAATTAATCTAGAAGTATATCCTTAGTAAGAGAATTTTTTAAATAAGGCAATTAGAATCTATTAGAATTCATTTTTCATTTATTTATTTATTTTCGAAACAATTATTCATCACATTTTACCTTTTTAATACAGAAATGGGAAAATTATATTGATACTTTAGAGAATGCAAAACTATGGATAAACAAAACCAATCTTCCTTTAAATGAAATTTGTCTTAGTTCAAAAGAAAATGATTTGAGCAATCAACTCAATGTAAGTACTATTGTGTTTTAAACTTTAAATATTTTGTTTTTCCGTATGGTCCTTTTTAAAGAGAAGATTTGGTTTTCTTTTTTACATTATACATTGTGTATTTTTGTTTATTCAATGATAATCATTTTTAACATAAACTTACATATCCTTGAGTAAATACCAATTAAAATCGAAAGGGATTAAAATACCATTGTTCATTGTTAATCAAATGATTACTAATGATCTGTTTGGAAATGAATTTTCTAATGTCTTGATGAGATAATTAAACTTTTGGAATCAAGTAAGTCAGTTGTTTAGCTAAAATTTTAACGTCGTTGGTGAATGATGATTTTACTCAGTATGGCAAATAGATTAAAGATAAAAAGTGAACATTCACTTTAAACCCTATATTAAACTGTTAGTGCAGACTTTATATAAGAACGTTAGTCTAAATTTGATCGAATAGTTTCACAGTATTTGGGATCCGAGTTGATGTGAAACATTAATGAAGAAAAATGTATTTGTGAAATCTCAGCTGATGAATTTGATAATCCCTTGAAAAAGCTTGAACCAGATTGCCAAGCAAAAGGTTGGATCTACTGCAACTTCATTCGCTGAGATTGTACAAATACATTCTTCCTCATTATTATTAATGCATACTGTTTAAGAAATTGCTTGAAATCGGAAACAAAAACCATTAGATTTTAACTTAACAAATTCGTGGTATAGTGTTTGCCTCAAGGAATGAATGACCTAAGTCCAGTTTCGTATAAGGTTGTAGATTTAACTACTACATAAGAACGTTGGGCTAAACCAATGTGGTACTTCAGTGATCCATGGTTTTCAACCAGTGCTTACTTTATATTAAAGAATCAATCTTCAAGAATATTTCAGATATTACAGAATAATAGTGATTTTCGGATCTTGTTAATTTTACAGGATGACAATCAAGTTGATAATTCAATGAGTCTGGACAAGTTTCTGATTTGGAATCTGAAGAAGCGTATCTTAATGTAAGTTCATTCAAGAATTAACATTTACTTTATTATATTGGAATAAATGAAACATAATTTTAATATGAAAGATTCCATTTTGGTATTGAGTAAAAAGATGAATAGAGCAATATTTCTTTGTAACTAAATAAAAAGGAATGGAATTTTAAAAAAAATGTTCCAAAGTTATTTTATTTTAATCTGTAAGTTTAAGATTATTATCAGAAGGGATTTTGTAGAGATTTTAGTAATTTTATAGTTTAATTCATAAATCAATTGAAGCTAGATCACCATGAAATCAACTATAAAATTACTAAAATCTCCACAAAACGCCCTTCTGATAATAATCATTGTATGCTCACTAGTGACTGGCTTTAAGAGATATTTCCTGGAGTTTTAGTGAGAGGCAGTGACCAGTGAAGTTCAACCGGATCTGTTGTGAGATATTAACTTACTGAAAACAATGGTGGATGGTCGCTCAATTTCGTGGATTAGTAGAAGTCAGACATTAACACCATTGGATATTGGCTCAGTGGTCTAGATGTTAAGCGTTCGCGCGCGAGATGTATATGCACTGGGTTCGAATCCCGCGCGTGGGGTCGTGAATATGCACTGCTGAGGAGTCCATACTAGGACGAAACGGTCTTCCCGTGCTTTCAGGTTTTCCATGGTGGTCTGGCTTCAACTGACTCGTGAATTCAACTATAAAATGTAAGATTAGCCTTTTGCACTAGTACACAAATTTTAATTTCCAATATTTTTCTCCATCCATTATAAATTCATATATTTTTATGGCAAACTGTTTTTCTATGAAGGCGTAATATAGTATATAGTAATTATTAAAAAATTGAATTGGATTATACATGTTAAATTCAATAGCCAACAGATTTATTATTTTATTCTTAGTAATCAAACTAATAAATGTAAGAATGTTAATATAATATAAATTTTCTATCCTAAAAAAACAACAACAGAATCGTTTAAAAGAATTAGAAAATGAAATGAAATCTGAACTAGAACATTTGAAACAAATTCAGCAAATTAAAAGTGACTCCTTTACAGCTAATTCAAATTATCAACTACATTGTTGCCGGTAAGATTTATATTTTACTAATAAAGTTCTAACGTAATTTAGGGTTCACTTGGTATTGTTTACTTGAATCTTTCCATTGATGATTAGGACTGCAATTGATCAGTCTCTTAGGATTTATATATATATATATATATATATATATATATATATATATATATATATATATATCGATGGTTTATGTTTGAAAATGTCAGATTGATAATTGAATATGGACTTCTAAATTAAGCAGCAAAATATCAGTTGTGGAGTTTTTGGAACTGATAATCAAGGGAATTTAAAAAGTTTCCCTTGTAGGAATTCTTTAGTAAAACTAATGACTTATACTTATGTATATTGTTAACCAAATACAAAAAAACAATGAATTGATTTGTTTTTTCCAAAAGAGTATTGACAGTTATTGACGATTATAACTAAGGTTTTATGTGCTGTAAAGAATATGTAAAATATTAGCAACCTTATAGACTTCATACAGTTGTCTTCATATCATTCGAAGACTTACTTACGCCTGTTACTCCTCGTGAAGGAGCATAGGCCGCTCACCAGCATTCTCCATCCAACCCTGTCCTGTGCAATCCTTTCTAGCTCCGTCCAGTTGTAATTCATCGTTTTCATATCTGCTTCTATAATCCGACGCAATGTGTTCTTTGGCTTCCTCTTTTTCGCTTCCCATCAGGATTCCAAGTTAGGGCTTGCCTCGTGATGCAGTTTGACGATTTGTGTAATGTATGTCCTATCCATTTCCATCGTCTTTTCCTAATTTCTTCTTCAGCTGGAAGTTGGTTTGTTCTCTCCCACAGAAGGCTATTGCTGATGGTATCCGGCCAATGGATGTTGAGTATCTTGCGTAGACAGCTATTGATAAATACTTATACTTTCTTGATTGTGGTTGTTGTAGTTCTCCAAGTTTCAGCTCCATACAGTAGAACTGCCTTGACGTTCGTATTGAAAATTCTCACTTTGATATTGGTTGAAAGTTGTTTTGAGTTCCATATGTTCTTCAATTGTAGGAATGCGAGCCTTGCTTTGCCGATCCTCGCCTTTACGTCTGCATCTGAACCTCCTTGTTCATCGATGATGCTTCCTAGGTATGTGAAGGACTCTACATCTTCCAGAGTTTCGCCATCAAGAATGATTGAATTGCTGTTTTCGCTTTGAATTTGAGGACTTTGGTTTTCCCTTTGTGTATACTGAGGCCTACTGATGCAGAGACTGCTGCTACACTGGCTGTCTTCATCTGCATCTGTTCGTGTGTACGTGATAGGAGGGCTATGTCATCTGCGAAGTCCAAATCGTCTAATTGATTCTGAGCTGTCCATTGTATTCCGTGTTTTCCTTCAGATGTCGAGGTCTTCATAATCCAGTCGACCACCAGAAGAAAGAGGAAGGTAGAGAGTAAACAGCCTTGTCTGACTCCGGTCCTTACTTGGAATGCATCTGTCAGCTGTCCTCCATGCACTACTTTGCACTGTAGTCCGTCGTATGAGTTCCGGATAATGTTGACAATCTTCTCAGGAACTCCGTAGTGTCGAATAAGTTTCCATAATGTCCTCCTATCATTCGAAGAGACGAAGAAGTAATTGGAGAACTCGGTTTTCAGTTAATCGGTCATACATCCAGACCTGTTTCGAGCTCTTCCTTAACGAAGCAGCTCTTATTGACTGACAAGTGTTTTTATGAATAGTAAAATGATACAAAAGTTGATATTTTGTAGGTCGTTTTCCCCATTGATTAATATCAGATTGGGAATTATTAAAAGATAGGAAACACTAAAGGCCCATCTATTAAGCGTTGGGTATGGTTTTAATCTTTCGTGACAATTAAGATAATTCATTATGTCATCGCATGAAAATAAATGGAATTCAGCGAAGAAGATTTTCCTTTCGATGAAATTGTTTACTTAAGCTTTGAATCTATATTTATAATTGTTTGGTAAATATATTAGTCTATCGAGAGATAGAAATAATTATGTCACAAAGGAATTCGAGATTTCAAATTCTAAGTGAGGTTACGTAATAATCAAGGGGTTTAGATAAGAATAGGAGGATGAAAATAATTTACGGGTCCGAATTGTGAAAGATAGCTGTCCATGTGACAGATATGAAGGAAAATGAAAAACGTAAAGGTCATAATACTAGCAGAATAGTAATCATGAAAATTTGTTAAAGGGTAATAATAACTGATTACAGTATAAAATTACAAAATACTAATTTAAAAACAACTCAACAAGACCAAAGTATACTGCAGAAGGGAATTAAGGCCACGGAAAGATGAGAGGTTGAACGTATCGTTTTTGTACTCAGAGTTCGGGTTTAAATTGGTAGATTGCCAACACCTCAACAGTGCATAAGCTTTTTTGATTCGACCTTTCTTCGATCCAGTTCCATTGATTGTTTTATGTTTAAATTATTGTTTCGTCCTCTAGTATACGAAGTTGTTTTATTTCAAAAGATGCATGATATGATCATTGAAAGTAGTCTACTGATGTTCTAGTTTGAGCTACTTATATCCACATATGTAGTATATAACGATAGTCAGGAATAGAATGGATTTCAGTAGAAGATCGAGAAGGAAAGAACAGGAACGGAAAGCGATTGATATAAAAAGGCAGGGCAATGAAATCTGAGACGATGGACTATTATTTGCAAAAGAAACAGTCAAGCTTGAGACAATGGATTGATATTTTGCAAATTAAGTATTTACTGTATTGTTCTCAGATTTTAGTAAGATGTTCTGTAATTCTATGTCTAGATACATTCGATTACCTCACTTGTATTTTTGTTCACCTGTTAATTGGTATCGTAATATCATTTGAGCTCGACCCACCAATACTAGAAATCATTTATCAGAAATATTTATCTTAATAATTTGCCCTAAGTATTATTAGGTGAAAATAAAGAACCCTAAGTTCTTGATGTAGATATTTGCTTTTAAGAACAATTATGCTTATTTATTTATAAAATATTGTGCTTATTGTTTGAATGAACCAAATTATCATTAGTTTACAATTTGTTCCAGATCTTTGTTGAATATTGAACAAATAAACCTAACCGCAAGATATTTTAATGATGAATATAAAGTAAGACCTCAGTCTGCTGTTGAGCGACGTTCAAATTCCGGAAAACTTTGTGATAGAACTAAGTTACTTGAAAGAAATCTCGGCTATTATTTTGGTTTACCTGATGGGGCGAGAACAAGCTGTTGGGGAGATGGTTGTGAATGTGGTTATTATATAAATGAGCTTTCTATTTTTAGACAGTTGTTTACAGAAAAAAACTGAGACAGTTGTTACTAATACAGAAAACTATTCAAGGTGTAAAGTCGAAGAGTTTGGGTAAGTTTATCTCATGAATTATTCGAATCCAAGTTTTAACCGTCTAAAATGCTAGTTAATCAGTTACTCATGAACGATGTTAAAAGTAGTAACTATTTGCATCAAAATAATTTCCTAGAGATGATATAGAGGAGAAGAATAAGAATAATAACTAGAAACATCAAGCAGAAGAGTAGAGAATTAGGACAAACAACGACAAATAAATCGATAAATGAAAGTGATGAAAAATCTTCAAACTCAATTTCTTTATTGAAATGAATGATAGAAGTAATGAAACCCATGATGTGTGCTCCGTCCTATTTAGGACTAGTTAGCTAGATATGCTTGGGTTCAAGTGTTGATATTCACAGTACAACTTGAACTCAGAACCTTTCGCTTTAAATGGTGAACGCGCCATCCACTAGACATCTGAGTTTAGATAACTAGCAGTTTATTCCAGATAAAACTAAGCGGGCATCTTGGATCTAACTGTTAGCTCGCACCAAACTTTACTGAAGTGCATATAGCTAGGTGACAATCTCGAGGCACTCCGTTCAGGATGCACGTATGCGAATGGAGACTAATCAATTATAGTTCTTTATATCAACAGAGAGAAAATGCGAATCCTCGTAAAGTGAATAGTCATATCATTAGAAATATAATGAAAACCATTGTTTCAAAATCATCAGCGCAAATTAAGAAAGGGATGATGGAGGTAAGATAGTTAAAAAGAATATGATGGAATATCAATTATAATCAACAATGTTGATTGCTTAAACGATTCTGTGATTCTACTTTCATGTGAATAAAAACCAAATGAGTTAATAAAATTGATATATTGCACACAAAATGTAATGAACATGGACTTCTGTGCAATAAAAATGTTCAAGATACAATGAATACAGGATTTTAAATGCCTATTTTATTGATCAGTTATTTTCCTTTAATATTGCAATGCTATAATGCCTAATCTTCATCTAAATCCGCTGTCCGCAGTTCATTTTATAATTGATTTATGATTTTTGTGAATCCACTTTGTGATTATTGTACGAGTTCAGTACCTCTTTGTATGTTCAATAAATTGTTAATGGCTTTCTGTAATACATATCATTTTATAAACTCTTTCAAAAGTAATATTGAACTACTTATCTACACCCCTCTTGTTTGCATTCTAGCAGACTGTCGGTTGTTGAAGTTTCTGCCAATGCTGCCAACTTCACTGTCCCAACTAAACCGACCGAAGATGATAAGGTTTCTCGTCCTGGTACCTCAAGTTCTTTGAAACTCCAGCTAGCCTATGGTGTTGGTGAGACATGTCACTCACCGTCTTTGGAGTTAACTGACTTAAAAGAGTTGGGTATGGAGTCTGTGACTAATCAATGTCCTGCTGTGGCGATTGGTTCTACATTTCAAAATGTTTGTGATCAAGTTGATAGGTATGAGCTGCAGGTTGATTTTGATGTGCGAACAGATTGATGATCATGTTTGTCTGAAGAGTTGTGAAAACAATGTTAGAAAAATACTATTGTAGTTTCGGGAGCTTTTGTTTTTTTATTTTTCGGTTTGATATTTCCTGAGTGGTCTCTGATGTGTCTACCTAGGTTTTATGTTTTCATAGTAAAATAATTTCGGTATGTATCATAGAAAACTAATTGGAAGTTGTCAATGTTGTTTTTCAAATCAGGATTGAAATATGGCGTTATCATCCAGGATGATTGTCATAACATTGTTTGATAAGAATGATTAAATCAACCTTAGACATTGACTTATTACTAGATTTTTAATCACTGTGATAAAAAGTTGTTATTTCCTCCTAATCACCACGTTGTCTAGTGAATATGATTTGTTTACTGGTAAAAATAGATGGTGTTTCGTTGGTTGTCTCTGATTGAGCTAATCATCATTGGTTCGCCTTAGTTCTTTACATTAATTTTGTAATGTAATGTTTGACATTCTGTTATGTGAATGTAATTCGAGAATTGTCTTGTTTTCCTCATAATCCGTAATATATTTGTAGCTCTCAGTTCATATGTTCTACCAAATTATATTTGACAAACTTATGGGAGCGATTAATTTTGTTTGAATCTGTGATAAATCTTATTTGGCAAATCACTTTATTTTGAGAAGTACATTCTCTCATCAAAACGTGGGTATGATACCCTGTATCAATTTGTATATCTATCTTGTTTTAGATTATTTTACGTATTCTTAATTCATACCTAGTTCAGAGACGAAATTATTAGATATGTGATTAGATATATAATGATGGAAGTCTGATCAGCCCTAATGGGTTGGTGTCTGACGAAATCTCAGCACGGATTCGAAAAGCTCGCTTGGCTTTTGCCAACTTACGTCACCTTTGGCGGAGGCGAGATATCCGTCTATCAATAAAAGGACGAGTATACTGCGCGGCTGTTCGTTCTGTTTTAATTTACGGCAGCGAAACATGGCCATTAAGAGTAGAAGACACCCGTAAGCTACTAGTATTTGACCACAGATGCCTTAGAAATATTGCTGGCATCTGCTGGGATCACCGGGTAAGTAATAGTGAGGTTAGACGCAGGGTATTAGGGAATGGTGGTAAATCAGTTGATGAGGTTATGAATCTTCATCGACTGAGATGGTTGGGGCACGTATTACGTATGCCTGAACACCGATTACCGCGAAGTGCAATGCTAACCGGTGTAGGGGATGGTTGGAAGAAAGTTAGGGGCGGCCAAACCAAAACGTGGCATCAGTGCCTGAAGTCACTAACTTCTAGTCTGAGCCATGTTGGTAGATGCAGACTACTTGGTTGGGGTCCGCGTGACTTTCGTAACCAATGGTTGGAGACCCTTGGTGACATGGCTCAGAATCGATCACAATGGCGTCGGTGTATACACTCTCTGTCTTCTCTTAAACTAAGAGATTAAGATCACTTCATATCTTTCTTTCTACGAACTAATTCTTTCTTCCTATACTATATCCTTATTGCAATCTTTCTCCTATATATTACCACCTTTGACCTAACCACTCCTATGAATCCGGTGTTCATCTTGCTGTGCTAATGAGGTATGGCAACCTGGGCCGATGCATACATGTGCCTGGTCCTACGTTGTAGCTGACTGACTGACTGACTGAGATATATAATGAAATTTTTCAGCCGTGCTCTACGTATTTAGAAACCAGTTTTAAGTATGTGATATCTATACATCAATCAATTTTGTTAACGAGGTATATCGTGATATAATATCGTTGGAATGAGTTTGCTTGTGAAAAATATCAGGATTTTGTTTCTAAAAGTATCTATGATTTGCATTATAATTTATAGTCATCTGAATTCTTGCATATTAATTTCTGTATATTAGAGTAGCACTGTAATTATTTTAAATACTATTTAAGCAGGTCAGTTGTAGAAGTATCTAATATTACTGGCAATCACTATGTTAAAACTGAGCAAACTGGTGAGAAAGAAGTTTGTTTTCTCGATCCTTTGGCTGCAGCAGCAATAGCGTTGTCTGATGACAATGATTCAACCTATGAATTCACATCTATGACATCTTGTGCTGCTCAAACATTGCATGAAAATGCGAAAAGTGATGTCAATTCAATACCGGAGATTTCTTTATCTGGATCAGAAAACTGCGACAGCAACTTTTCAGGTACAAAGTTAAAGATGAAAACATTTTAAAATTTTAGACTTAATAATAGACTGTTAAAGTATTTGAAGGTTCCGGAACAACCCAATTTTTCACATTGTGATCCAGTATTTTTTACAATGTCAGTAATATCAGAGATGTGTTTTTAACACTATTGATAATTAATATATAATTCACTTTTGTTAAGAAGTTCGATGAAGATTTGTTTAATTTATAGGTGGTATTCATTATAGAGTGACATCGGTGAGAACATTAGTCAAAATCAATGATTATCGAACACTTATTTTATTATAGTGCGGAAATAATCAACATGAATCCAATGAGGAATCAAATCGAAGGCGTTTAAATATTATAACTAACATCCTACTTATAGACAACTGGGACAAAATTTATGCTCTGTATGCTGTAAGAAAATATTATATAGACATATTATGATAAGTGTTGTTAAAGTCGTTTATATTGTCCTATGAATTCATTTCAGTTTTAAGTGACTCTAATTCCGGTATTGAAAAATATATTGAACTGAATTAGTTACCAACAGGTTTTTAAAACAAAATAAATTCCAATCATATGCTTAACTTCATTTCAACATTTCATGATGTTTATTGTTAAATATTTTGAAATAATTCAGACGATTAATAGTTTCTGTGAATGTTTTAAGTGATGTTAAGTGTTTTGAACTATATGAGCCAAGTGTAAAACTTTTATTGTCGTTTTGCATAACAGTATTTAATTCAGAATTCAAGTAAACACTGATGATTGGATATGAAACAACATTAATTGCATTGCAATAAAATTATTCGGCTTAGAGAAGGTACCATTATTAAATTAACAAATCAAGTAAACGCAGATTACAGAAATTTAACTGAATGCAAAAAGTTTTACCGCGACCAGTGGAGTTAATCCGTGTCGGGTAGAGACAGGTATTTACCTCAGTACAATGGAAGATGGTCGCGCTGTTTCGCTGATTGGTTGAGGTTAGACATTAACACCGTTAATAATGCCACCTCAGCGGTCTAAAGGTTAAGCGTTCTCGCGCGAGACTGATAGGTCCCGGGTTCGAATCCCGCGAGAGGGATCGCGGTTGCGCACTGCTGGGGAGCCCTACAATAGAGGGAAACGGCCATCCAGTGATTCCAGGTTCTCAATGATGGTCTAACATCAATCGGTTTATGATCTCAATCGAAAACCTTTGCTACGATGTTAGGAATTCGCATAAACTATGTTTAACTGAAAGTAATTGATAGCTGACGGGTATAAATATTGTTAGACTTTAAAATTCATAAACGGTAATTAGTTCAATGTGAGTTAGTAAACAATGAAGTTGTGAAGATGGTCACGGGTGAACTCGAGGAAGCTCTAAGAAGCTCAGGAAGAGCCGAGGATATTTCATCTAATCATCTTTTGAAAGAATATTCCAAGACCTCTACGTGTAGCTTCCCTAATGCACAAATGCTAAACCCCCCTGCATTCAGATTGGATGACTATAATGATAATTTTGCTTTTACTTAAAAGACTATAAATGCCTGATATTTTTTTACCATACTTGACATTACTTAAAATAGCATTCCTTTCACTTTTCTTCTACCTTCTTATTTGAGACTTGAAGGGTTCTAGCGTTCGAGTGCTCAATTTGTACGCGGTATATTAAAAATCTAAGCTCTAGATATAACAGAAAAAATGTCTAAGTCTATCTTGCTACGCTATTAAAAGTCTCATAAATAGTTTATTATTGCAGATGTACATATTCTTTGTGAAGTAATAACTGACCTGAAACTGTAATCATCAAACATTTAAAATCAAATTGTTTAAAGTGATTTCATTACATTGTTACATGATGATAAACATATAATTTTTATTAAATCCCATTAACACTGTTGGACGCCGGCTCAGTGGTCTAGCTGGTAAGGCGCCTGGCACGAGACTGATAGGTCCTGGGTTTGAATCCCGCGAGACGTGGTCGTGGATGCGCACTGCTGAGGAGGCCCGCAATGGGACGAAACGGCCGTCCAGTGCCTCCAGGTTTTCCATGGTGGTCTAGCTTCAATTGACTCATGGTCTCAACTGTTGAAATGACTACAATCTCCACAAAACCCCTCCTGATACAAATCTCAATTAATAGAAAATTGTATTACTGATATTTTGTAACTTAATGTAAGTCATTTCTTCCAAGTAAAATAGCTTACAATTAGTTACTAAATGTTAGAAATACAATTTTTTACTCATTGAGATATAACAAAATGAAATATATATTGATTATTAACTTTTTATCAAGTGTTCAATTTGTTACGTAATGTTTAATAAATATCAAACCATTTACTGATAGATTAATTTCGTTCTCTTCACATTTACAAAAGGTTGAACAAGTCTTTACAGATTGAACAAAGTGAAGAATCGACTCAAACAACTAATCTAATGGAATATATTCATAAACAAATTATTCATTTAACATCATGTAATACTAATCTTAAAACACAATCATCTATTGTTACGAATGAATTAAGCTGTCAAGTATGTTTTCCATACATTGTTTATTTTATATACTAAGTATAACAATGACTGTCCACTAGTGAAGAACAATTTGTTGTATATATATGTATGATATTCTAATTAACAAACAATGGATGAAAACTGTGTTAGTTTAATTTGTTAATAATTAAGTGTAGATTTCATGAGTAATGTGGTAACTCCCATAGTCACTTTATCTCTTAGACGTATAAAGAAATAAATAAAGAGACGCTTAATTGATATAAATGTTTAAGTTCGGTTTAAACTGATGATTATTTTTGGTGTAGTCTATAGTCTAGATATTATCTGAAGAAAAGTTAAACTTTATCAACTAATTATAGAAAACGAAGCTTAAATACTCTACTAGAATCTGGACCATAGTAGTTTGGATTGAACATCTTAGAAATGCAGTAAACAAAATAATAACGCTTATAAATAATTTGAGAAATAAAAACAACTATTGAAAGAAATTTACGTTTTATAAAACTTCTTTTAGAGATAACGTAAATTACTCTGAAAATTAAACGAATATTAGGTTGTTCTTTTCAATGGTTGAGATCATGAGTCAATTGAAGGTAGACCACCATGGAAAACCTAGAAGCACTGGACGACCATGACCAGTGGAGTTCAACTGGGTCAGTTGTGAGATAGTAACTCACTGAAGACAATGGTGGATGTGTCGCTCAATTTCGTGGATTGGTTGAAGTTAGACATTAACACCGTTGGATGCCGGCTCAGTGGTCTAGTGGTTAAGCGGTCGTGCGAGAAACTGATAGGTCCTGGGTTCGAATCTTGCGAGGCGGGATCGAGGATGAACACTGCTGTGAAGTCCCATACTAGGACGAGACGGTTGTTCAGTGTTTCCAGGTTTTCCATGGTGGTTTAGTTTCAATTGATTCATGATCTCAACTACTAAAATTACTATAATAAACAAAAAACCCCTTCTGATACATTATTGGGTTGTCATTTTTCCATTTATACCATAGTGGAATCCATGTTGTTTGATAGTTTTATTTCATTGCTGCTTATCATTATATGTAATAGTATTATCAGCTCAATAATTTCACAGTGTAATATATGTTATCATTGAATAATTTGTTTTTATAATAACTATTTTGGTTTCAGGCAGTCTGTCTCAACTTCTTCAATGTTAAATTTGGAATAACAAATTTCAGTAGTATTTCAACATACTTCATTTTTTTAAAGTTTCTAATAATAAATGAATGTGATCTGAAATCAAATGATCTTAAAGGTATAACTCAACTAAATAATCTGGAATTTTTAGATGCAAGTGTAAGTAAACCTTTTTTGAATATGTGCAAATACCTGAAAAATTTTACTCATCCATTTTAAATGTTTGTTAACGTTTCTATAATAACTCCATTTTTTAATTGACGTGAATACGTAATTCAACAATAAAAAAAGTGCTTTATTTCATAGATTAATAATGTTTTTTAGGGATTGCAACTGAAGACATGAATTACTCGTAATAACTTATACCTTGTAGAGCTTGGATGATTTACTGAAAATCAATTTTTAGCATTCAACTATGAAATATTGACGCATACATAACTCGACATAAGCTATTAGAAAAATCTATAAAGATAGGTTAATTTGACACCAAATTTATGTAATCCACTGGATTTTTCTGCTTTATTTTATAATCAATATGTTTTGCATATATGTTATTCAGGTAGAAGTCCCTACTGATTAAGAAATAACTTATTATGTGAAACCAGTTTACTAATTCTCTAAGATTACAGATGTAGGAACATTTATTAACCTTAAGTAATACTGCATTAAAAATGAATTGTTTTACAATGATATTTAAAAAAAAATATGAGAAAACTGAACTTAATCGCACTATCTTACTAAGTTTGTTGATTTAGAAACTGAATGACATCTGTCTGAACATTTGTAACCAATTTCTAAAGCAATAACTATCTGAATAATGAATGAAGTTAAACTAAGACGCATTAAGTTATCGGTTTCATTATATCTTTTACCAGTTTTTTTCTACGAATTATCGTAAAAAATCGCAATTATTATAATATCTAATATCAGTAAATCAAAAGGAGACTCAGAGTTCATCTAGGACAGATACAGTATAATTTATTGTGTCCAATTTATTTTCTGATATAATGTCATTTCTAAGTGTGGTGTGGGTTACTTATATCCACATAAATAGTTTATAACAGTGGTTGGGTATAGAATGTATTTCAGTAAAAGATCGACAAGGAAAGAACGGAAACGGAACGCAGTTGGTATAAAAATGCATGAACAATGAAATCTGAGACAGTGTATTGATATTTTCAAAAGGAACAGTTAAGTTCGAGACAATGGATTGATATTTTGCAAGTTAACTATTTACTATACGGTTCTCAGATTTTAGTGAGATGCTCTGTGATTTCTCCTCAAATACATTCGAATGTCTTTACTCTTGTTCTTGTTCAGTACATAAGTACTATAACTTATTTGGGAAAGTAGTCATTAAACCCAGATAAAAACATTTTTCTTGAGTTTCTAGACAAAATATCACTTTAATCTGTAAGAAGCCAACAAATAAAATCTCGCGGGGTGCGGGATCGTGGATGCACACTGCTGAGAAGTCCCACACTAGGACGAAACGGCCGTTCAGTGATTCCATGTTTTCCATGATGGTCTGGCTTCAACTGACTCATGATTTCAATCAGTGAAGTTTCTAAAATCTTCACAAAACCCCTTCTGAAAATAAAATCTTGTTGAAAGTTCTGTTTTTAAAGTTGTATAACAATTTTGTTATGAAAATAAACAACTGGATTCTAGCCAAATTTTTTTCTAATGTCTGATATATTGTAGAGAAATAATCTTAATGGTATGAACCTAAATGAAATGAATTTATCCAAATTAACTATATTGAAATTAGCTCATAATAAAATAACAAAACTTTCAGATATAATTGGATACTTTCCTAATCTTTTAATGTTAGATATTTCATCGAATTATATTACAAATTTGGGTAAGTTTTCAAATGGTGATGAAAAATATTATGATGATTTCAAAATTAAAAATTAGTAATGTTAGAATAGTATTAACAATTAATTAAATATTGATAATGGAATTCGATGCCTTACTATACAGAAAACAAACAGGGAACCAGTTGGTTTATGGGTAGTAATCATAATAGATTAAGATCGTTTGGAGGTGATATTGGAAACTAGGATCCAATGGATAGTTATTTCTGTTTAGTGTAGAACTGTTCAGCTGTACAAACCTGCTGTGGCTCGAGTCTTGGACCTCTAGGTGTCGCAGTGAGTACATTATCTCTAGACTGTTGAATTTTCTCATAATCACAACTTCAATTAATTTACAATATGGTGTGATGATCATCCAAAAGTTTTTTATAATGATTGTTTCATTATTGACATGGATATTTATCAAATCGTTTCTAAGTAATAAAAAATGTACCTCATACTAGTAATTGTAATTGTTCAATAGTCTTTATTTATTTTGCTAAGGAGGAATTAAATTGTCTTTCGAAATCACTTATATACTCATTCAGTTTTTTGACTAGAAAAACGAGCCTTATCATTCAAAAAATGTATATTTGTATATTATTTAATTCGAACTATTTAACTTTTAAAAACCTGCAGTACAGCAGTTATTTATCTTTTTTGTTAGATATACCAAAGTTGGTTATTTCATTTCCTAAACTTTATCAACTTATGGCAACAAGTAATCTTATTACAAATATACAAATAAAACCTTCAAATACAAAATGGACTAATGAAAATCTTAATTTGTTAGATTTATCCGATAATGAATTAACTGTTATTGATGAAGACTTAACATCTCTGTTAAATATCACTAGGTTACAATTATCTTCAAATACTTTAAATAAGGTATGTGCTTAAATTTATTATTCCATAAGTTTTAAAAACATTTGTTGAATATATTTAGTCGTTAAGATAATCTGTTTTTGATGGAGTTTTGTTCTCTGAGCTAGATGGTTTGGTCGTGGAGCTTACATCGTTCTTCTGAATGACATCATCAGCACAAATTTCAAATAGAAGTGAAGTGTTCGAATTTCTCCATATGCGTTTCACAGCTTGTTCTATACACCTCGACGTTGATTGGTCTTATTTGTGCACAAATATAGGAACAAAAATCAAACCGATGGGAGACACAACCAAAACAATGACAAATTTAAGGTCAATAAGAACCAGTCAACGTCGAGTTGTACAGAACAAGCTGTGAAACGCATGTGGAGAAATTCGAACACTTCACTTCTATCTAAAGTTTGTGCTGATGATGTCGTTCAGAAGAACGATGAAAGCTCCACGACCAAACCATCCAGCTCAGAGAACGAAACTCCATCAAAATCATCCAATTGAGCTACAAATCTTCACCATCTCAGATAATCTGTAAAATACCGTTTTGTAGTTATGTAAATTTGAACTTGGAATTTAATCTATCAAAATTTTCCAAGTTTGTCGATTTTCCGTTTTTTTTTTTCACTTAGAAGGTTGTTGTTACCCCATCGATTCGTTTACATTTTGTTACTTTGTACTCATGGGCGCAGTAAATACATATTTGCGTGAGAGTTATGCATTATATAATCTCGTTAATGGAATAAATCTGGACACAGCTCGGAATTTTATTTATAGTTAGCAATTAGGGAAGAGGATAAGAAGCAGTCTTCTTCCTTCTCATCAAAGTTGGAGTTAGGGATCCGTTATCTTAATGGATACACATATCGTTTGTTACAATTATTTTGCTGTTGGAATTATTAACCTAAAGTTAATAATAAATATATTTTTTGTTATATCCTAATGAGTAGACGTTTCGTAACTTAATGTAGGCCACTTCCTCATAGTGAATAAATAACCAAATCAAGTTAACACAAGTTTAAATATTACAAAGAAAAACGTCGGTAATACAATTTTTCTACTCATTAGGATATAACAAAAAATCTATTTATTATTAACTTTATGCCAAATGCTTAATTTATTTGAAACTAGCAAGTTCAGTCTTGGCATTGATACCTGTTAACCTAAAGATTTAAAATTATCTATGAGTTTTTGAAAAATAAGATTTAAGAATGATAGGCTTGTTCGTTTACATGAATATAGTGTCAAAAAGTTAAATTTCCGGTGTTCTGTATAATGTCAAATTAGCGATAAAGATATTTCAGTTCAAAGATGATGTAAATTTTCTATAACTGATTCAAGTATAAGTTTTATTATATACTTGTATTAGGTGCTTTTAAGATCATTCCATATTACATTTCAGATGATTGTTTTAAAGACTGTGTGGCCTATCTATTCATTTGTTTTATTTCTTAGGTTAATCCATTTAATTTAAATGCTCTTCTAAAGAGTTTATGTAGTTTGAATATGATTCTTATCATAAAATGATTGAAGTTGGAGAAATATTAATGATTAAGAAGTTAGAAATGGCTGTTTTGGTCTACTTTGAGACTTTTAAACACTATGGACCCATAATGGAGTGTAAATGTTTAATTTTATCAAATAAATTTCAATAAATAGAAGTAGTTCTCTTTCTACGTTGTATGAAGAGAAAAGCTACTCGAAAAAATGTTTAGTACGAATTGGCTTTATCAGTGTATTCTATTTCCTATAATCGATTTATTTAAAGTTTTGTCAAGTTAATGATGTAACTTTCATTTGATAGCATTAATTATCAGCTCAAACTAAAATTTCGTTTATTACCGGTTGTTGTTTGATTTGTACTTCAATAAGTTTAAAGATCATGAATTTATTATCTTAAATGTAATCGAGTATTCTCAGTGTTGTTTATGTGTTTAGTGTTGGGTGTAATTTTATAAAAATGAATTTAAGCCTATAAGTTGTAAATCAATTTACTAATTCCTTCATTTACCAGCCATTTCAAACTGGATTTTATGGCGCTACATTACAAGAATTGGTCTTAGATCATAACAATTTAACCTCAATAAACTGGTTAAGTGAAAGTTGGTTACCAAATCTCATTTATTTGAATGTAAGCAATAACAGGTAATTTATTTTTAAGATTCATTTTTAATTCTTCAGTGAATTATATCATAATTTAATTAATCATATACTTCATTTGGTGAGATCATAATATATGGACGACCTTTGAGGGACGCTAAAGTGACCTTGAGAGTATCTACCTAATTACTAGGACTGAGTGAAGGTTATTAAGCAGTTTGAAGAATAAGGATTATGATTTACAGTTGACGGTTAGGGTTAGGAACTAGATTTAAGATTTTTATCACGAACTGACATCAGCTATAATGCCAAGACTTTATTTAACCAAATGGATGAATGAATTTCGCGCCAAAATCTAAGACCTGTTATCGTAAATCTGATTGGTTCGTCCATAAATTATAGTTTCTGTTGTGGATACAGAATAATATGCCAATCATTGTCATGTTAAGTCTATGGTGTCCTTGGACTTTAAATGTACATTTCTTATTGGTCGATGTTTATTTCACTTGTTAAATATTTTGTAAATGTTGTTTCCTATTTTATGGTACGATGTGGTGTGCTTGATTGGTATATAAACAAAGTATGTCTGAAATACAATGATTCATATCTCCGAGGCTGTGACTTGTGTTCTTGACTCATCTGGCTGGGACAGACTGCGAAGCAGGGCCAATCAGGGCACTAGGTCGTCCATACGTGTTTTCCATGTTACTGTGATCGATCGATAAACGCTGCTTACCAAAACCTGCAGTCACACACGTTACAACAGTTTCGCCATTAATTAAATTAATTTATGATCGTAGTTGTCTCCTTTCGACAAGTTGACGTGCTTGATAGGAAACATGAATTTAGTAAAAGACGGAGCTTGAAATGAAAACTTTAATGAAAATTATTCAGCAATGTACCATTTTTATCCATTAAATGAACGGAAAAAGAACCGAGATTGTAGGGTAAGATTTAATCAGTTAAATTTAAAAACGTTGAAGATAGTCTTAACCTTCATTTGTTTCTGTAAATACTGTAATTAACTTCGATAAAAAGGAATACAGTTTGTAAATATAGATTCATTGTCTTTTTTTGTTGTCAGGATAATTGATTTACCTATGCTGCCGTTTCCATTATTACAAAAGCTTATAATCAGTCATAATTTGATAAATGGTAAGCAAACATACTATTGTTTTAAAAGAATACTTTATGTTTATTGCACTGTAGACGTGATTGAACTCCATATATTACAACTTATTTCAACGTCAGTAATAACCTACATTTTGTTTTCTTTTTGTCCAATTTCATTAGAATTTTATCTAGAAATATGTAGGTGTCTCCATCATTGATTAACACCAGTTATGATGTCATTGAAGATCAGAGACCACTAAGGAGCCATCTTATTACTGCATTAAATTTCTCAAAAGTCCATGCACATAATCTTACCAAGGATGAAATTTATGACCTCTAAGTCATTCAGGATCATACCTTTATGTTGCTTAGTTGAAGTTTAGCGGTCCGGATTTATAACTTGAGGGACCTATCAATGTATTTAGGTGACTACTCAATGGCATAAGTGACGATTATGTTACTCCCAACATAGTTAAACTCCATTGATCACGATTTCTTACTAGAACCTCGGGAACTTGTAAATTAGTCTAAGCTTTATAACTCCCCCACACTAAAAGTATTTTTGCATAACTGAATAAACATAGTTTGATATAAATTGTGAGTTTCATTTTTAATAGTTGAATTCATTTTTACTGGAAAAAAGATTTGTCATTAGTTCTTTTCTTATTATTTTGTATTTTAGAAATTGAGTCTGTCTTCAGAGGAACAAAGGTTTTACCACGTAATTGTATGCTAGATATTCGGTGTAATCCTTGTACACTGCGTTTGAATTTTATGTATGTTTTAATTTTTTTCTACAAAAACATTTATACCAAACTAGTTTAGGATTTTTAATTCTAGCCTTGTAAGCAAATTACATGACACCTTCCTGACATAAGAAATATCAACTGATAACATCTCACAAAAGTACCTTGAAATATTAGACCTAATGGTAAGGGGGGGGGTCGAAAAAAATCACTGCTATTTTTTTAAAAGAGAAACCAACACAAATATAATCGTATGAACGAAAAATATTCTTTCCAATAAATTTCTCATCTGGTTCTACAATTCATAAATCCAAATTAATAATCCATAAAATTGGCCAGATTTAAGGCAAAATACATCATCATTTGGAAATTGTAATATGTGAATCAGGAATTGTTTGTTATATAAAATAAAATCGTTAATGTTGGGGCTGACTAATATGAAGTGTTAACTTGAAACGGTTTATAAGCAAAATGAAATTGTGTGATAAATGATCAGAATAAATATGGTCAACATGGGGTGAGAGAGAGAATATTGTGATTACAAATCGGAAATTGCGTAATATGTAAAATAATTAGGTCAAATATAGTAAATTCAGGGGTGGATATTGAATAAATTCCTCAAAATAGGTTATCAAGTGTAAAGACAATAATAGTAATAATAATAAGAAGAAGAATGGCAATAATAACAGTAACAATAATAATAATAAGTTTAGGACATAAAATGAACATTAATCAGATTACGTCACCACATTATAAGATTGATTATTAGGTAGTTGGCCAGGGTAAAAGGAGTGGCTGAACATACTTCTTTTGGATACAAATTTCTGGCTTTTTTATCCGAATAGCAATTGCTTCAGCCGTCTGTAGGATTCGCAATCTGATGGAATTAGGTAGACTGCTGTTGACACGATAGATTATTGCAAAAGATTGCTCCATGTTTGCTGTATGTCCTGTTTGGACTAAATGGTCTAAGATGGAGCTGTTAACAGTTTTAACAGCACCTTTGCTTAACCACACGGGTAGGTGCTCACGAGCCCGAATGTACAAACTCCTAGAACACCTGCCAATATAACTTGCTCCACAGGAGCAGTTGAATTGATAGATACAGAAGGAGGTGGCTAGTCTACGTAATTTATCTTTCAACCTCGGAGTGATTATTGGTCGTGTGGAGAATACTAGTTGTTGTTTAGCTGCATTAAAAGTCCTTTGAATTGATCTACTTAACTTAAGTCTTAACATTTCACTCGGTGCGTCGCCTCTGAATTGTAAGCGCATATATAGAGGCTTTTTCTTAACCGTTGGGCATTCTCTACGCTGTCTTTTATTGGCTAAGTTTTTATTTATAAATTTCTCCGGATATCCATTTTCCTTCAAAGTTGTAAATAATGTCTTTGTTTCATCTTCAATCGTATCCATAGTGCATATACTGATTCAAGTTGACACTTCATATTAGTCATCCCAACATTAACGATTTTATTTTATATAACAAACAAATCCTGATTCACATATTACAATTTCCAAATGATGTATTTTGCCTTAATTTTGGCCAATTTTATGGATTATTAATCTGGATTTATAATTGTAAAACCTGATGAGAAATTATTGAAAAGAATATTCTTCGTTCATACAATTGTGTTTCAATATAATGGGAATTTTTCAGCAATACAAATATAATCGCTTCTGACAAATGGATATGACTTCGCGAGAAAAAAACATGACAGTAAACAGAAATGTAGTATAAGTAATCGAGGTTTTATCTTGGAATATGATGTATGATATACTAATTGTCTATGTAAGGAACTAAACGTTTTTATTCTCACGAACAACCGTCAGTCAGTTTGTGCCATGTAAGGAAAGAATATTTGGCTTGTAATATTGTTTACAAAACAACTATACTTACGTACTTTCAATTATATTATCACTAGAATCAAAAACTGAAATTTGTGATACAATCCAATACAATTGTATTTTATGAAGACTTCAGAATTTTCAAAAGTGCAAATGACTGAATTTGCTCAAGGATTCAGATAAGGTATATCATGTTCACAAAGAAACTAGCATTCTGTAAATGAATCAAATAAAAGTATCGTAGAAAATCAAGTTATATTAAACAATTTTTATTCTTGATTGGAACTTCTTATCTAATATACACCAGTGACCTGGTTGCGTAACAAAGCTAGGGTATTTAGGTCTTACAGTGAGGGCTTAGTAGATATCAGTGATCCGAATTTATAAAATTTTCCGCCAGCAACTTTCGTTCTATGTAATCTTAAGAAAATATGAGATACCTTATTCACTAGATTGTTTCCCTGTTTATGATTTATAACATTTGATTAATCAGTATCTGTAATAGCAATTGAAGTAGTTCGATAACACTCTTGTGTGGTATAATGTTATGAACTTCTTGTAGTTTGACTGTTTTTCATTTATTCTCAGGGAAACTATCAAAGAAAAGTTTCCAAACACAATAAGCACTTCTAATCAAGATAGTGATTTGACGAGGACAATATTTCAAAATCATGAATTCCAAGCTACTGTTTTCAGTGAAAGTATTTGTCAGTGTTCACAATGTATTCGTTTGAGAATGTCATGTGAGCAATACTACAAAGAATATCAAAAATGCGCAAACTGTCTGGACTTAACATTTAAGTAAGCTCCTCACATTGTCACTGACATTTGATGATAGCTATATACTGTGTGAATATAGTTCCAATGTGTTTTGAAAAAAACAAAGAATTATTGACAACAAATATTGAATAATATTTCTTTGAAACACTTTACCGCAGTTTCCAGTCGAGCTAGGAATTCGATAAATTGAATTTTTACTGGTTTGATGGTAACTAGTATTATATAGTAACTTTGTTCTACGTTGTAGCTGACTGACTGACTACTACAAAAAATAAAAAGTGACTAGTACATGGAAAGTTTACAGTTTTTCAAAAGCAGTAAATTACATATTTACAAATAGTTTGTATAAGTTGTTGCCGAAGTCGGTCTTTTAGTACAACTGAACTTTGTTTATTCCTATAAAATTCCTATTCGCTCAGCCTCCATAACTTCTATGGGGCTGCACAGCATTAAGTTGTCGGCAATGCTAGAGTTAATATATATAACAGGAGTACATTGTATTAATTAATAATCTGGTGTTGCAGAGTTTTATTTGGTCCATCTCTTGGTGACATTGCCTTTCTAATTGGTTGCATAATACTGATAAAAAAGTTGTATATTGTCCACTTTAGTTATTCGTTCTCTCTCAATAATCGCACTGGTCATTTAATAGTGTTTTGAATTCCGGATAATTGCTTAATCAACCAAATCTTTAGATCGTAAATTGTATATCATTATCTCATCATTTTATAAAGTATTTCAATCATTGTATATTTGATACTGGTTAACTGGTTTATATTAATAAGTTGTATTCCTTTTCCATAAAGACATATCAACGATGCAGTTACGAATCGTGAATTACTGTGTCTTGATAAGCCAATTTCAAACAGTCATGTATTATGTCACTTAAATTCGAACAATAATCTTCACTTGGAAAATCAGCCTGTTCAATTTAATAATCAAAATATTATACTCAATATTTTTTCGAAAGCAAACCAATGCTCACTAATATATCACTATATAGATCTAATTGAAGAGATAATTATATTGAAGAGAAAACAAATTGATATACTGAAGTTATTTTGTAATGAAATGAATAATACAGTGTCAATGAATGATACGAAAAATGATTTTCAGTATAAATTTCCTATCAAAGAAATTATCCAGCATTTCGTAATGTACAAGAGTTCTTCAAATTAGAATAACTGAAGGTTAGTTTAAACAATTACCTTGTCTTACGTAAATGTTTTGCATATGTTTATGTAGATAGAGATTTATTTAGATAGCTGAAGATCCTTTGAAAATCAGAGAACACCGGACAATTACATTATTACTAGTTTAAAACTTTTCGATAATATACAATCAGTCTCCAATCACTACTGTATTTGTTTGCGATGGATTTCTCAAAAGTTCTAGTTGATCAGTAAACTTTAAGCTAAAGAAGTTAGGAATGAAAACTATTGAATACTAATTCAGTGTTTTTCAAAGCTAAAGGTTCATTGTGAGATCCAAAGGCCTGTGTTTGATTTTCCACAGTGCTGTTGATCCACACTGCTGAGAAATCATGTTTTATGACGAAACAGCTATCCAGTGGCTCCTTGGTTATTTGGTAGTTATTAAACCAAGGTAAGCCAGTGATATATTACTTTAAAGTCAATGAAATTAGCAGTGAAACGATGTCGTACAAATGAGATTAGTTAAAGAACACTTTATATGAAAAATCACCCGAACGCATGGCGTTCATCTGGCATTATATTTCTGACGGGGTCACTGCTGTAAACCTTCCAAAAATCTAAGACAATTACGAAGTAGCTGTCAGTAGTTCTATAACTGATATGTCAGTCCATGACTTCAATCATCAAAAAATTTTCATATTAATAGTTGTACATAAATATATATAATATTTGCTCCTAGCACTTAAATAAGAAAAGAAGATAATGTATTTTGTTTGTTTTATGATCAGCCTAACCACTTAGTACATTCAGTCAGTTAGTTACAAACAATGTAGCATTTGACACATATACTTATCAGTATAATTTGCCACACTGTATTAGTACAAGGAGACAAAATTATCAAAATTAATCGCCGGCATTAAGAGCAGTAACAGTATCGGTGATAGTAGAAGACATTTAAAGTAAATAATACGGTTCAATGAGTGTGAAAGAATTCATGAAACAGGAAATACAAAATAATTTTTGAACTCAAGAATATTAAGGAAAGTAAAGAGTTTGTAACTTTAATCTGTTTGCTTTTAAGATTCAAACTTGAAAAAAAGAGAATGTATTCTGTTTTACGATCAACCTAACTATTCACTTTATTAACATTTTGGGTAGAAACCATTAGTTAATTAATTTGAATTTCTTACCACTAAAAGAAATTAACTGGTCAAATTGACTGAAAAGTTAACCTTATATTTTTATGGTATTTCATTCTACGTTTCAAAGGGTTTTATTATTGTTATGCCCTTAGCTTACACGATTACTGCGAATAAGATTACCAAATTTAGATACGAGAACTTATACAAACAACAAATGACGCATACACCTGAACGTACATCCTGGAGTCCCGATTGGTTCTTTTTCCTGCTTGTTAAGTCCAGAATACAAATCTCATTCCCTGAGATGTGAATCATGTATTCCAAACATACTGGGTTTATATGCAAGCCAAACAGATCACATCACACCATAAAATAGAAAATAGCATCTTTGATGGATCTTATAAGTTTCCTTGCTAAGTTATAAACACGGTGGGGATGATAAATTGTCTTCATTTCATTTCACACAGTAGTCACTAAGAAAAACCATTCATTTAATTTTTCAAATTGTATTAAGAGCAAATATCAAAGCAAGCTATTCTAACTGAGAGGAATTGTGAGAGATTCTAATGTCCAGTGATCATGAGAAGTAGATACAATACTGAACAAAATAATTCACATTTTGAGACATGTAAAATTTTGTATAAATATAGAAATCATTTAAGGCTTTTCTCCTCCAGTTAAGTGGATAGATTTCCACTTCAGTACTGTACTAGGCATTGTTTCAATATTAATATGTCCCATCAGAGGCATGTATCCTTTTTATGTCCAGCGTCAAATTTACTATTCTTTGATAGTTTGTTTCAAAGCTGTATTGATATAACTTAAACAGAAATAACTGAAAATGCTTTTTTCTTCATTTCAGCCATGTTATATGCTGTGTAATTGTAAATTTGAGTCAGGCTAAAATTTACGTGTATGGAATTGATAACAATATCTGTTACGTCATTAAACATAAACTTTCTATGTCTTTACCGTTAAACATAATATTTTACGAAGATTTTTCTTTTAATGTACAGTTTCGTTGTTATGTGATTTTCAAATTGTTTTAAAAACATATGACGGACAACAAAAATAAAAAATACTTTCTACATGGAAGCATGCATAGTTCTAAAATTTCTTTCTTTTAACACATACTATTGATTTATAGTCAGTAACATAATGTAAAACAAATAAAAAGAAACGTTGGGGAGAAAATTTCCGTAGTTAAGATAAAACTCGATACATAGTAAAAAAAATACTGCTTTAGAGTATTTTATTCATAAATAAACTTCATCAAAAATGATTTATTTTTATTGATTTTGCCTGTGAAGTCTCATAAAGGATAACAATGACTAAAGTTTGAGCACTTTATACCAAGCATTATACATTAGGCGGATGAAAGTAATCAGTAGTAAATCTTAAGTGACGACTCATTTCCAATGCATAGCGAAATGTCTAACTGCTTCTCTAGCCAAGAATTCTCTGTGTACATTATGTATCATTTCAATGAGGAAATATCTTATTATTGGAAACTAATCTCTCTGATGATTTTAAGTAATATGCTAAGACCAAAGCCATCCTATTTTGAATGTAAATTTCTGTAACATAATCCTGTTAGCTTGAATCCAAAAACGTACTTAGTGTAGTATTCAGACACTAAAAGTGACATTTATAAAGGTTTCAAGGAAAAATTTTGAGGTAAAAATTCAAAAGTAAGGAATAAATCCTTTGCCAAGATCTAAAATATAAATATTTCGTCAAACATTATGACTTTCATTTTTACAACTTGGATTAACTGACTGATAATAATTGAACTGACGGATTCACTAGTACAAATGGTTTACGAATTGAATAAACATAATTATTCATTTTGATCCTGATTTACTAAAGAAGTTAATTGATTACAAGAGCTATGAATAGTCGACAGCATGATCATATATTTTTATACAAAGCATTTTAAAGACACAGATTGCCATTAGTTTTATTTCCTCTATGTATATTCATTAACTATAATGTAGAATGTAAAGTCGTTCGAATCATCTTTATCAAATGATAATAATACTATGTTGGACGAATTTGTTCCAGTGTACACTTGGTGCAAGAATTTGTATGTAATTCAATCGGTTCAGTTAAACATTTACATTAATATGGGCTTGTTATGCTGATGGATTATTTTGATGAACGTATTCTAGACATTGAAGAAGTATTATTTAAGTACAAATGTTTTATTTCATGCTTGTAACATGGTTGATTTGATTGATCTTTTGATGTTCTTTTACATTTACACTTCTTAAAGTAAGCTATAAATTTATTTACAATTGAATTTGGAAGCCAAAAACTGCATAAAATAATCTGTATACCAATCAGTGTAAGAAATGCAAATATAGCTGGGACAAGTAAAAATTTATATTCTTCCCAGTCTATTGTTTGTTCTTTGATAATAAAAGTATGATTTCTGTATGTGACTGAAGTTTCTAAAACTAGTTTGGTTTTTGAATGGTGCTGTAACGTTCTATTTACAATGGACACAGCTACAAAATAAATAATGAATAAGGACAATAATAAATTTGTTAGTTTTGTTTATGTACAAAGAAATTAATTTTGGTAAATAAACATATAGCTCTTTATGATATTGTTTATCTCATTACATTCTCTCGGATTCTTCCAAAGTTTTATCACTATTCGAAACATATCTGTTTAACTAGGTCTCACGGTATCTGTTATGTCTAGAATTTAGATTCTTATTATACTGCATACAATTAGAGCACTCGAAAGCTAGAACCCTTCAAGTTGCAAATAAGAAGGCAGAAGACAAGTGGAAGAAATGCCATTCCAAACAGTGTCAAATATGGTACAAAACTATCAAGCATTTATAGTTTTTAGTAAAAATGAAATCATCATTATAGTTATCCGATCCGCACACAGGGGGTTATTAGCATTTGTCCAATAAGTAAGCTACACATAGAGATTCTCGAATGTTGTTTCAAAAGATGGTTGGGTGGAATATCGTCGTCTCTATCTGAGCTTCTTAGATCATTCTCGAGTTCACCCGTAAGTCGTCCTCGCGTTATCAATATACTGAATGCTATTATACGAGTACATACTTTTATCAAGTATTTTGTAATTATCATAAAAATCTTATTTCAATATTTTAGATGTATCAAAAAGACTACTCATTCGTTCATATTTTAACATGTTATACGATACTGTGTGTTGTACATTGAAAGTATAAACAAACAATTTGTTAGTTAGTTATAAATTATATCTGTAGTTTCCCAGTTGAGTTCATAGTCTTATTTAGATTGAAGTGTTTGAGGAGAAACTTTTTCATGTCAAGATGATTGCAGTAAAGATGTCTTGTAGTAATAGTAGCAGGGTCGAATTTGTTAAGTCTCTTTGGCAATATTAATTATGAAGTAAACATCAAGGCTTCATCAATTAGTCATTTTCAGTAGCACGTGTTTACTGACAGCAGTTATACAACTATCATTAGATATTACTGATGTAAACTCCAAGGATATGTTCATATATATTGATCTGCGCAAAATCAACATTGTTACATTAAAAATCATTCTCCGGAACTTATAAGCTCAGATTAAATATTGTGAGATCTTGTTTGTTGTCATAAAATCATGGGAAATTCGACTTGGCACATTATTTAGGTGGTTTGTTCTCGTATAGAGTTGAGTTGTTTGCACAAATTGAATAACGAATATCAGCAGACTGGTAATCGCACGAGTACCTCACGAGTAACGTCTTACAACGAGTGTTGCACATATGTTTAACGACTTCTAATTAACATCCAAACTTAGTCCATAAAGCAATAAGTTGTGTAGATTAATGGTCGTATTGGAATTCAGTCGTTTGAATTCAATCGACAATAAGAAATAAATATTGACGACATTATTTCATTCTCAGTGATATACGTCGAATATACTGAAACTTTACGTATAATCATTTATTCTACTAGCATGACATAATCATTAAGAGTTTGTTAACGTAAAGTTTCCGGTTATAGCATTTTCTTTAGTCCATTGAATAAATTTCTCTTTTAAAAAACTACTAATTTTTGGACTACATTCAGTCTATGAAGAAAGATATAACTCCAACTAAATTAATAAAATCTATGTTTATAGTGTTAATGTGTTCACTAGTGACTGAATTTTACAGTCACTCCAAAATATTGTAAACTGAGAAGCAACGGGATAGTGCATTTACTTATGTTAATTATGAGACATGTATCATCTGTTACAATCGATGAAGGTTTCATAATATTGAGAGTAGATTAAAGTCAGAAATATGAGGCACTATATGCTAACCATTTAGTGATATAGTGATATCACCATGATGAAACTGTTGGTATTCACTTCTAAAAAGTAACATACTACAATCAAAATAATGTGGGCTGCCTCATGATTCCCAACGTTCATGATTCAAGTTGAAAACTGTTAAGTAACATCATAAAGTAATTGTTTGGTACATATTTGTATACAGTAATAACTTTAAATAATAATACAAGGTTGAATGAAATTACAACCCATAATTTATACCTTAATAATTATTATCAATTCAACTTACATTTGTTTTGACCAATTAATTGCGTTTCTGATATAAACGACTTTAAAACATCAGAAACAAGAGAATTATTTTTATCATTCATAGAATTCTTTGCTAACTTGAAACTTAATCGGATGTTATTTTTCTGACATGTAAATGAATGAGCTATGGAAAAAAGATATATATTACGTTTAAGAACAAAGATAATTGGGTTATTCAAGAAAAAAAAAGCAATTGTATTACGTAAAAAAGAAAGCTTTTTGTAATTAAAATATGATAGATAAAGATATAAACTCCTTAGAAATGTTACTTTTTTTATTCTATCCAGTATTTTCATATATTTCCCTCTAATAAGTTTTTGATTGAGATCATGAACCGATTGATGTTAATAATCTCCACAACCCCTATACTAGTAATTAACATGTGCTCACTAGTGACTAGCTTCGTGGGGGAATTCTCGGAGTTCTAGTGAGAAGCTGTGACCTGTCAAGCCAATCCATTTCGGGTAGAGACAGGTATCTACCTCAGTACAATGAAAGGTGGTCGAGCAATTTCGTGGATTTGTTGATGTTAGACACTATCACCATTAGATGTCGGCTCAGTGATCCAGTAAGTTAAGCGCTCGCGCGCGAGACCGAATGCCCTGGGTTCGAATCCCACCAGTAGGACCGTGGATGTGCACTGCTGAGGAGTCCCACGATAGGACGAGACGGCCGTCCAGTGCATCCAGGTTTCCAAAGGTGGTCTAACATCAATCGGTTCATAATCTCAATAAAGAACTCAAAGTTTATTCATTGTAGTCGTGGTGCATGAATATATCCCCAATAATGACATCATAGTCTATTAGCATTATAAAGTTTTTAAAATATAAACTCTCATATTATAACTAAATTAAATTTTGAAAACCGTGAACAATTAAATGTCTTTTAAAAGTATAAATCAACTAAACCAAAATTTACAGGATTTATGTTTAAGTATTTAAGAATATTAATTTTGATAACTAAAAGGAAATTGTGAATTAGGTTAAATTGAATGTAGTTAGAATATTAAATTATTTTAAGATGAATAGGTTTGAATTCAAATGAACTGTGACTTTGTCTCAGAAGATTGACAATATTGCAAGATATGCAAAGCTAATAGTATTGCTTGTTGTACTTTAGTATAAAAGATAAATTTATATTTAGTCAATATATTGTAGAAAATCAATCGTGGTTTATAGATTCACTTAGATAATGTTTCGCAATAGTCAATTTAAGTATATCTAAAGTAAAAATGATATATCTCGAGAAGAATAATGGATGTTAATTGTTGAAATCTATTTATGGAATAATACTATGGATATATATTTATTTTGTAATTGTTAAGTAACTAAACCATGCATATTCATGTTCCTCTTATTATAAGCTTTATTTTGACTCATAGACTATTATTATACGATTTACCATTCTTCAGTTGTGTCCAGTCTATTATTTACAGTCTTCCGCATCCATAGGCACTTCTGGTTAGATATTGTACAAATGTTATTTTCTGTTTTATGGTGTGATGTAATGTGTCTGGCTTGTATTAAACCCAGTATGTTTGAAACACATGATTCATATCTCAGAGGCTGAGATTGATGTTCTGGAATCAACAGGCAGTGCTAGGCAGGACCAATCAAGAATCTAGACTGCTAGTACGGGTTTATACGTAATTGATCCGTTCGATAAGTCACTGTTCTGTAATTGGGGGTATCATTACGTTATAACAGAAAATAATATTTTTTCAGTATATGTTACCAGAACCATTCTATAATCTCGAAAGGAATCATCTCAAATTACTTGCAGTAATCTTCTACATAGACTATATTATCGTGAATACAAAAATGCATTGTTGTCATAACTTAGTAATTCAGAAATTAACTTAAGTAAACTATATTACTTGTTAGTAGTTATTGTTAAATTAAAGAATATTCATGGCTTGCATTTAAGAAGAGGCCCGTTTTTATTAGTATTGATTCATCAACTTTAAAACTCATTTATTTTTCTAGGTAAATATATTCAATACGAATTCCTGAAATGAAATGAAATTGTGTAATAATAGATTTGTACATAATTTGATTAAAGCAGAAGTAAAATCTATGTAAAAGTAATGGTACGCGATTCAAACTAAAATTAATTAATACCTCTTCAACTTTAAACGATGTATTGCATTCTTCACGAGTCATTTAACCAATAAAATTAATAAAAGAAATATAATCTGTCATTTCATATTAGTTTTATATGAAATAAATTATCGATTAAATAATAATAATAAAAAGAGAACAGTTTGTCCCTACCTATAAAGTGTACAGGTATATTGTAATCAAAACTAGGAAGTGATGTGATCTCTGGGAATCGACTAACTTTAAGTACAAATTCATTTAATGATTTATTACTAAAACAATCTAAAAGTTTAATAACTTTTATTGATATGTTTTATTGCATTTCATTTTTACTCGTGAATCATTTGTCTAAAGAGAAAGAAATAGAAATAAAACATTGAACGAGTTAATAAATTAAATGTCATTTTGATTCATAAAAACTCTAAATACATATTGTTTGAGTAATTGATAAATAGAAGGAAATTGTATTACAGGAAATTCGATATTATGAAACGTTTTCGACCTTTTGCTCTAATGAAAAGCTTGAAGTTCAACCACGTCAAAATAGATCTTCAGCTCTTCCTAGTTTTTAAGAATTAGTTGACTAATGTCAACTTGTAATGTAAACCATGATATTCAACAATTTTTTCAAACCTGATTGTATTCATAATATAAACTGGTTGAATTTATGATAGTTCAATTGTATTAATGACATTCTAAAGCGATAAAAGTATTTGAACTGCAGTCTACTCATCTAATAAAGTTCAACATTCAAATCGAATAGATTTTGAAGGATTAAACTATTAATTCATTAACTGAATACATGAAAATCATATTTACAATTGAAATTACTATATAAAATAAACTTTTTTGAAGAAAAGTTTTATAATTTCAATAGTTGGATTCATGAGTCAATTGAAGCTAGATCATCATGGAAAACCTGGAAGCACTAGACTATATAAATATATACATGAATGATTAAAGATAGAAATTAACATCTTCGCAAACATGATCAAGGGTTATTCATTTATGTTCATTTCAATACTTTCCTGATAAAATGATATGCAACTTGTGAGAAACGAATGTTGTGAATGTTTAATATTCACTTCGTATTTTTGTTTAAATTCATATAAATTGTATTGAATTAATTAGGTACTACAACTATTACTTCAATATCACGTGAATGTATTTAGAGCATAATGGATACTGAATTTCCCTATCTTGAGTCTCATTACTGTAGAACGATTTAAAGAGTGATAGATGGAAAGGGGAGTTCAATAAGTTATACAGAATGGTTTTGTAAGAACTCAATGCAGAATATTCTAAGTATCTCTTGAGATACTGTAGCCGCATAATTGGGTTTTTGTTTGTCTGAGTTATTAATCATTGATTCTTTGAATGAGTACGATCGTGTTAATGAATTTGAGATTAAAAACAACTAAAGTGATATACGATAATGCTAATCATTCACGCAGTATTGCATTCATTTATTATGTTGTACATAAAGTAATCATGATGTGATATTAAAAAGTTCTGTTTAGATAATTTTTTTCTAAAAATGTATAAGAGGACTTTACCTGACGTTCAACAAAACTACTCTTGTTTTAAGTGTTGAATAAACAATTATAAAACATCAGATGAAATTGACTCATTGATTTATGCCTGCTATACTCTGCTTGGGCTTTGTAATGAATGAATTTCCTTAACTGTATGACAAACGTTATGTGCATAAAATACCTTAAGGAATTTCAGTAGTTATTTGTTCTAAAATATGTTATTCTGAAGTATTACAATTTTAAGTTTATTGTGAATTACTGAATAAATATACAAACATGACAGTAAAGACCACCAAACAATTGGTGATTGTTCACTTTCATACATATTAAAGGTTTTAATTTGACGTAAAACGAGTCAACTGAGTAATCACATCGTTAGTCATTTGTTTTAGTTTAAGCGGCGAGACTATAGTTTATGGACGAATCAATAACGTATAAGATAACAGGTCTCGGATTTTTCACTCATCCATTCAGATAAATAGAGTTTTGGCATTATAGCTGAGGCCAGTTCGTGATGAAATTCCGGAATCTAATTCCTAAGCTTAATCATCAACTGTAAATTATAATCCTAATTCATTACACAGGTTCATAAACCCTCCTGATTGTTAAGCGGATACTCTCAAAGTCAGTCTAACGTCCCTCAAAGGTCGTCTATGAATTATAGTCTCATTGTTTAAGCTGTTCTATATTTCAGACAAGTGTCTTACAATTGTCACACTTATGAAAGTTTTTCTTACTATTTGTATTACTTCAAGGTTTACTCAGTTTTCAGCAAAGTATTTTAAAAAAATTTGCTTAGCAAATTGGAAAATCTGTTTGCTTAATCATCAGTGTATATGTTACAGAGTACGCAATGATGACAACCTGATCACACGATAGCTCTTCAAAAAAAAATCACCAGTAAAATCTATTGCTGGTATTAAATATACACTCTCGATTAGTATATAATATCAGCATAGCTAAATGAGATTTCTTTTGACCAGATAAGACTTGATATTCAACTATTTTTTTTGCTTGATTAGGTAACTTGAATAACAACTTTCAATCAATTTTTTATTAAAATTAAATCGTGGCGATTAGTATTTTGACTGTTCTAGACTAAAATATCCCCATATTTTGAGTGAGGTAGTTTCCCTTCTGATCCATTCTGCGAAAAAGCATTACAATGTCATTACTTCCTGATGGTTTATCTAAACACCTGGTAGGGATTTGTAAACAAGTTGAAACTAATTATATCTTCTTTTTCCTGTCGAAAGTCAAAATAATGGTAATTTTATTCATTTACTACATTTTATATTGCTATTTTATTGTTTCAGTTCAGTTACTTCCTGTAATAAACTTTTAAAAAAACATTGAATAAGAGTAAGGCATTTGATTACGAACTTAGCGAAAATATATTCCGATTTATATCTTTTTATATTATTTCAATGTAAAATCACCTTATATAATTTAACAACTAAAAATGCAGTCATAAGAATATACAGTTTCTGAAAAATAATAATCCTGGTTATCTTTATTATTATCATTATTACGAATAAATTAATTTGACATTACACTACTTCTTTCATCGACAAAATTTCAATAAAGACGTGATCATTTCAAATAAACTAAGCATTGGGTAGAAAGCTATAAATAACGTTAAACAATAACACCGTTGGATGCCGGCTCATTGGTTTAGATGTTAAGCGTTCGCGTGCAATACCGATAGGTCCTGAGTTTCAGTCCTATGAGTGGGATCGTGGATGTACACTGCTGAAACGGCCGTCCAGTGCTCCCACGTTTTCCATGGTGGTCCAGCTTTAGTTGACTCATCAATTTAGCTATTAAAATTATACATTTGTGATATCTCATTCAATAGAAGAATTAAATTTTATGACGTTTTGCGACTCAGTTTAGGCCACTTCTTCAAAGAATAAATAGCCAAATTGTATTAACCAAAGTTTGAATAATGCATAGGAACGAAGCAAGAATATTGAGTGCGATCAGTTCTACGGGATTATTAGATGGTTTCTTTGTGAACCTAGGATGTCCTTTGGATTGAGTCAAGATATTGCTAGATGACTATTCAATATAGGATGTGTCGATTGTGATAGATTCCAAATGAAATCGGTAATACCAGTTCATGCCATTTTCAACAAACACCAAATTGATATTGAAAACATCAAAATAATACAAAAAGGCTTTTCCAACTACAAAGAAAGGCGAGTAACTGAAGCTTTCCATATAATGCTTAATCCTACTGTCCTTGATAGAAAAAAGGCCTCACTATCCATCTGACTTGGACTACGTGTCCAAGCTACCATGTCTGATTCTATTCACATTTTACACTATCATCGTAAAGACAAATTAAAGTCTATCCTTTCTCACCACAAATGTCCCAATTTTTCATCCTTTACCATACATACGCACACACGCACAAATTTCCAAACATTTCTCATATAAATCATCTTGACCGGAATGACATGACATTGATTTAGTCAGACCTGTTTTTGATTGATCGCATTTAATATTCTTGCTTCGTTCCTTTGTATTATTCAAACTTCGGTTAATATAATTCGGTTATTTATTCTTTGAAGAAGTGACTTAAACTGAAACACGAAACGTCAGAAAATTTAATTCTTCTATTGAATGAGATATCACAATTATATTATTTTGATCTATCTAATTAAAACTGTTTATTTTATATGAAAGGAATATTTTACATTACATATCCAATTTAGTGCAACCGTAAAAGAATGTAGGGATAAATAAGATGCCAAACGCCAATATTTTAGCTTTATGTTTTATATTTTATCTTAAATACATCGCTTCAATAGTGAGGCACAATCGTAGAAACGGCTCTTTATTATCATTTTCTTTAAAACATATTTTTCTATCCTATTACTTCAGAACTGTAAACCAGATATTTAGTAAACTTAGAGTATGCAATCATTTCCTTTTTAAACTATACTCAGCAATATACGCATATTAATATTTGAAAGTGTAGATTTTGAGTGGTTTCCAGTTCATGTGTTATTCTCAACATCATCATCACTCTTCTGATACTAGATATATAAACCTTCATTTTAGAGTAATTTGAAAAATAGAGGTGTTTGCCATTTGATGGATTGCTTGAAAATGAAGTTGGAATTATTACATAAATCAGTTACTTAATAAAATAAACCACATTTCTTTTTTTAGAGATGATCATTTTAAATTATTTGCGGTACAAGTACACTTTTGTGGAACATTAAAATTAATTCATTCTAACGTTTTATTTAAATATAATATAAATGGGATTTGTACTATATTACTCTATCATGTAATTCACATATGGTTAGACTTTATAAAAATAGTTAAGAGAAATGAAATTCTCCAGTTAGTTACACTTGATTGATCACTGGGTGGTGATCAATGTCATGGATGTCAGGTCGTTCTTAGCGTAGATCGAATCCTATCGATAAAGTTGCAATGTGGCTATCAGTCTAGTTGACTCAACATTGTGTGCATTATGTTGAGATAAGATGACGGTTAGTGGTAGTAAATAGGAAACCCTGGATAACTTAGTGGCAACGTCTCTGATTGTGAGACTGGGTGACACGGGATCGAACCCGTCAGGGAGCATCAGTTCCCTCAAGGTTACAGGTACACCTTGCTGACGAGTACCAAGTAGCACGCAACCTAGATCCAGGGTTTTCTTGTTGACTAACTCCAACCACCGTCTTATCCCCATTTAGTTTACTACAAAAATTTTACTTGATTTTTATATAGGAAATAATTGATCACAACATTTTTCACAAGTAGTTCAGAGTTGGTTTATAACTGTCAAAAGAAGCATTAAACCCTTTTTTGGTTTAAATCACATCATCATAGATTTATTCACACTTAAAAGTACTACTAATAAAATTTGAATTATTCTGTCATTGGTATTAAGTATTAAATTTGATTAGCCTTTGTTGGGATATGTTCACTCATTTTCGTTATTTATTTATCATTATTTGGTAAGAACGTGATTACGTGTATTCAGTTGGATGATTTTTATTTATCTTCGCCCGTTGAATTCCATTAACTAAGTTCACACACAGATTCAGTCGGAATGTTTTAGCTAGTTCCTAAAATCTGTTCGTTTAAGGTTTTTCAAGCCCAACGTCTTCATTATTTCGTTATTTATCAAATTAATGAAGCTATTATAACACTGGGGACTTTTGCGTATAAATATTATATCAATAAGCAGTGCGGTGATTAAGAATGCTTACAGAAATCCCCGAAGTAAATTCACTGGGCGAGTGATTTTCTGAAATTGTTCAGATAATTAAAACAAAACAGTTGTTTGGATACACAGGTTAGCGACGCACTGAAGAAACCTTTGTATGATAAATAAACTCAATATCTCATACACTTAATAGTACCCTATACTCTTGTTAAGCAAAAACTTGAAGTTAATACAGAAATTTATGATTAGTGACTGAATAAATTAGTTCATGGCTGTGGTTCCCATATCCACTCAGAAGTCATATTCGTTTAGTTATCTTGGAGTTGAATAAATTGAGCTATCAATTCTGTTGACCCAGTCACTTTAGAACTTTGTCAGATCAGACGATTACTTAGTACACCATTCGCTTTTCGTTTTGAATGCACAATCAGTCATGAAACATTAATAAATTTCACTTCTCCTCTGATTTTGTTGTGCAGATAAGTGATTTACATATCATTTCACATAGTGTATTATTTTCATTGTGATATGATTTTAAGTGTGTAAAAATTGTTCTACTTTTATTAGAACAAAAAGACTCATGATCTCGATTTCAATCTCTAACTATAATAATCTGTATCTTACTGTTTTTTCTTAAGTATCAACAACTAGACTTACCCAGTAAAGATTTCTTACATGTGTTCGATTTGGTGAACAAATAAAAATCAAATTATCTCCCTCATTGACATACAATTCATCAGGATTTTCTTTAAATCTATATGAAATAAAACAATAGTATTTAAAAAAAGAATGAAATAAAGTAGTATCTGAAGTGTTTCTCAAAGTGTTAAAGTAGAGAAAATATTTTAATTAAGAAACCAGTATTCATTTATATTGGTACGTTCGTTTTTATTTTGCAACAAATACTCAATAGGAAAATTTAATTATTTTCTTTTAGCTACTGCTTGGTTGTGAAAAATATTTATACGTTGGAAGATAATATCAATGTCTCATTGTTTTAAGTTTGTTTTTGTTGATACCATTCAAGCGCATTAGTTTTAAAAGTGGTAAGTTTATGAAAATGTGAATAACTTAATGTTGATAAACTTACTGTAGTAGATCTCATGCATTTCAGTTAGATATTTATTCAAATAAAAAAGCATGTTTGATAAACTGAAATCTGAAAAGTTTGTGAACATTTATCTCACTCAGAAGGGGGTTTTGTGGGGATTTTAGTAATTTAATAGTTGAATTCACGAGTCAATCAAAGCTAGAACACCATAGAAAACCTGGAAGCACTGAACGACCGTTTCTTCTTAATATTATTTATTATTATTATTATTAGAATCTTTCTTCAACATTATATTTTTTGGTACAATATAGAATTCTCAGCATAAAGTATTTCAACAAGTTTCCTTTTCTTATATCTTGATCGATTGTGACGATAAATTTTGAATGATGACCAGCTATATGTTAGGAGTTCGGTAATCCACATATGATTGATGTTCATTCGTTTCAATACATATTGCCAGCCACCATGATGTCGCTGATTGTACCTTTTTTTAACCCGTACAGTGAAAGGTTGTAAACTTTTCATAAACGCTCCTGAATAGATTGTGAGCACAATAAACATAATGATATGCTAAAAAAAACAAGAAAACAGATAACTTGATGAAATATCTAGATCGGAGGAACAGGTAGCCCAGATATTCAAGCAGGTTGCCACCGATATCGGACTACCCAGCGAGGCGCATCCACGATTCCGCTCGCGGGACTCGAATTCAGCACCTATTGATCTCGTGCGCAGGTGCTTAACCTTTAGATCGATAGGTCCTGGGTTCAAGTCCCGCGAGCGGGATCGTGTATACGCCTCGCTGAGGAGCCCGATATTAGGACGAAACGGCCGTCCAGTACTTCCAGGTTTTCCACGGCGGACTAGCTTTAATTGACTCATAAATTCGGCTATCAAACAATTTATGTATTAGAAACCGATAAAGTATGAAAAATAAGTTACACTTATTTTAATTACGATTTCATAAACTTTATTTCGACATTATTAGGGAAATCATTTGACCAAGATGATTATAAACAAAATAAATTTCCTACTATATATTAATTAGCATCGCTTGTTTTAGTAGTAACCTAGTTTTAAACTTTTATAGAATTTGTTGACAGCATGTTTAATTTCATACATAATTCTACAAAAAGTATAATTTTAAACATTTAGAATTTGAAATGGTGAATAGTGTTAATAAAGCAAACTGGTGCAACATTTTGAAATAGTTACCAAATGTTTTAACATACTATGTTATTTGCAAAATTAGTAGTCATGCTCTATAAAATGAAAGATCAAGCGAAATTAATTCTAAAGTATCCTTACATCTAAACGTCTCACTTGAAGTACTTCTACTGATTGTCTTGATGTTTATTGTCATTTAATAAGAAAGGTGAATTGTTTACACTGGTTTACTAGGGATATATGTTAGTGTTTACTATATTCTAGGAGCTTCAGTGCTGAAATGAGACTAGCTATTATGAAGCATATTAGGAAATAAGTATTACATCAAAGAAATATATGGCTTTAGTAACCAGAGATCTTTGGTGTTATTAGCTTTGCATACGTTTAGACAGTCTGTTTTGGATTCACTTTTCTGTGAACTACCTGTACACAAGCCTGAATGACCGGAGTAGATAAGGATGTTATTGCATAAAAATGTTTTGATGTATCTTAAAAGATAATTATTGGGGTTTATGATGAGTAGTTTATAGGTGAGAATATGAATAGAGCATTGCTATTAAATTATTAAGCTTTTTTATATTTGTTACGTAGGATCTCGATGGAACAGTCAAGATGAATTAGACTTTCCTTTATTCCTACTTTAGGGAAACCTTGAAAGTGATCATAGCTGTGACTTTAAATAAATAAATTTCAACAATGTGGCTTATTCAACTTTCATAATTAGATAGAAGTGTTGGGAGGATGCTATGAACGTGAGTTTCATATTGATTGACAAACAACAGGAAATAGGATACAGTCTTGAAAAAACGATACCTTGTTTAAGACTGAAACTGACTTAATCTCGTGTCATATTAAAACAGGTTACCTCTTAGTCAGTAGTAAATAAATGTAGTGATATAAAGTAAATTACATAGCGAAAACGATTCATGAGACAAGACAAAATGATTTTATCAATTTTGATATAACCATATTGTTTGATCATGTTATTTGAAATACTTTTTCTGAATGGCCAAATGTATAATCATGAGATTAGTCTACGGCTTTTATATAATAATGGGATTATTGACTAATCTATGCGTTTAACATGCACAATTCCAACATTTACATTTGACTATGTAAATGTTCAAAATTCAGTTGCTTATGAAAAATTAGAAACTGTCACCTTCATTGTTTTTGAATATTGATTGTTTATAGATAGGCTTTATAAGAGCTGATTATTCTTTGTTCTGATTAACAACTTAATTTTCGGTATATTCAGTATTCGTTGAAAAACCAGACTGATATATGTTATAACTTTTCTCAGTTCAAAATGTTTTCAAAAATACTATTCTCACTTTGTATTGTAATGAGTATTAGTTCTTTTTTATCACAAGCATAAATATGAAACATACATTTGTTGTTACTATTCAGTGGTTGATATGTAACTAGCTGATAGTTGTGAAATAATGTTTAACTCCTGAATGTTTGTACTTGAATATTGTCAATATTTATTAACATAAGGGTTTCATACTACATTACAGATTGGTGTAAATACAACATTAATAAATGCAAATCAAATTGATCCATTTAAATTTATAAAATATTTTTCATTTTTATTATTCTACAACGTACAATGCTTTTCTGTTTTACAGAAAGAACACTAATAAACTGCGTCAATTAATATTAGCAAAATAAAGGTTAATCAATATTTTGAAGCTAAAGGTTTAATTTCCCAAAGGGCCCAGGGGTTGGGACATTTTTATACAATAAAGAACTACTTCATTAATATCTCAACTTATTGTTTTAAATAACCATATAAACAATCAAGTAACACAACTTTTGTCATTTTCCTCAATTCGTAATAAATATTCAAATAAAATTTGATTTTTAAGTGAATAAATATTAAATCATTTTGGCAGTCTTGTTGCTTGCATAGATATATAATAAGTATTAATTAAATCAATCAAAATTATGGTATATACTTCGGGGAGGAGGGGGGGGCGGAAAGCTAAAAATGTATAAGCTTTAATAATATTTATTTGTAAGTTAGTACTTAACTATAGTTTTAAAATTGGTATATATATATAGGAATTAAATATAGTAAGATTGAATGACTCTGTTTTTTAGATTTTGATAAGAATTGTCGTCTAATATGAAATAGACATTTCCAGTTGTTGTTTTCTTTTAAGAATAACTTCAAATAACTATGTTTATATAAATCACTATGTATGACATTTAATTAAATATGATTTTTATACTTTCATTAACAGTAGTGAACCAGAGAAAATTAATATCTTAATAGATAGAAGTATTTCTGTATAGAACAGAACTTATGACTGTCCATAACTGTTCAGAATTGTTGTACGGGAAATAATCAACTGCTTCTTATTTTATAAAATGTTTTATTTAGTTAAAAGAAATCGAATTGTATATGCGAAATTATTGTTTCAGTTTTCATTCCTACTTTAGGTTTGTGCACATATAGTTTTCTTGGTGAGACTATAATTTATAGACAACCTTTGAGCGATGCCAAAGTGACCTTGAGAGTGTCTATCTACTTCATGGGACTAAATGAAGGTTATAAAGAATTTTGATGAATAAAGGCAATGATTTACAGTTGATGGTAAGGGTTAGAATTTAGATTTGTGGTTTTCATTACGAACTGATATCAGCTAAAGTGCTAAGACGCTATTTGGACGAATGGGTGAGTGAATTCCGGGCCAAAATCCAAAACCTGTTATTCTGAATCTGATCGGTTCGTCCGTAAATTATAGTCTCGCCGTTTCCTTCATTCATATATTAAGTAGATAAGTAGATAACGTATAACTGTTCATTTTTTTGAAAGATTTCAGTATTATTAGTATTTATTAACTTAAACGTCGTAGGTTTCACCATGCAAACTATTTATTGTAAAATCAAATAAATAAATCTCGTTCGTATTTACGGCTTGTGTAGTTTGTACTGCATAAAAACTATGCAACCATCTACATTGAGCATGTGGTTACTTGATAATTTCTGAATGCACAAAGAAAACATTTGTATTACACAATGTTGTATCAGATTTAAAATATCTGGAATTGAATCTTACCTGTTAATCATTAAAATAAAGCTTTCATTAGAGTTCAAGTTTTTGGAATTGATGCACAACACAGAACAATGAATTCAAACTTTTCAAGTTGTTACTACTAGGATACCTATTTTATGCTAATGATGTCTATTTTTTATTCACACTGAATTAAGAGATGAAATTGTAGCTAATTTAGAAAATGTTTCGCTTAGTTTTGTTTATAACCTACACATTGAAGCGAGTTGTTAGACTTAATCCCATGAACCATGTGTATTATACTTCAAGGAATCGAAGTACCAACAATTAAGTTGAAACAGCTAATAGGTTTTAAATCACAGATGTAGATGATATTCTAACCATCGTGTAAGAGATGAGTTTAATATTACTTGATTAAGGCAAGAAAAAATTATCCAACAACTTAACTTGTAACTTGGGTGGTAATACCAGAATATTATTAATTGTAAATAAACTCTAAACGTTACAATATGGTGAAATATGTTAAACGAGAGTGTATAAACATGCAATAATTAATGTATATTAATTAATCAATTTTTTTTCATTTGTCTAGCAATTTCATTAATTCAGTTAGAAGCTAACATATTCAATTTAACACCAATTTGACAATATTCAGTTAAAAATAAGAAGTGTCATTTTCAGTTCAGAAAACAGTCAGAAATAGTATTGAATTGTAAGGATTTGTATTCTAAGGACTGCAAATAATCAGTCCTTGTTGGTAAACATGCAACTTGAGTAGGTTGCCTCGATATTGACGATTAGTCAAAAGCGTCTATCAAAGTTCGAGGCAATTTACTCAGGATGCATAAATGTTGATCGGGGTTAATTGATTGCCATATTTACCTTCAATAACGAGAAAAATAGGAACGCTAACAAGTAAAAATAACAGTCGCTGCAAAATTTAGCAACTAATTGAACTCAAAATCACAGTGGCTAACGCACTGAAGCTTAAAACCAAAGGTAACAAGTTCAAGTATCTGTGTAAATATCAGTACTAGGATGCGGACACAACCAGCTGAAAAGTATCACTCAGGAAAATGCTTGAGTTCTAGATTTAATTTCAACATTAACACAAACGGCGTTTGTATTCAACATATAATCGTTGAGTATGCACTGTGATGGTAAAGTGAACTAAGATATTGATATGACTATAATATTGTCGGTATATTACAAGTAATATATGTATATGACATTTGATTGTAGTATATCAACAACTGTTTCATGTCATATGGTATTATTGTTTTTATTTAAAATCAATAAATATAATTGTACTTGTTTTTCCAGTTCTATGGTTGAACAAGTTTTTAGTGTTACATATGTAGATGTATACTGTGAAATAAAAAAAATACCAATGATAATATTGTCTAAGCAGTTATATATAGCTAAATATTGTTTCACCTAGTTAATTTGTTTTAGAATTATTAATTTTTGATTTGTATACTAATAAATCATAAGTATTTTTATTATTGTCCCATGGTTTATAACATTTCCGATTGGTTCTCATCAAAATTTGGATAGGTTTCTTTAATAAAATCTATATTAAATGGTAACCTAGATTTGTTGATTGGTTTGAATAAAAATCTTGGGATAATATAATCTATTCATCATCTAAAATCGATGTTCTTCCAAAAAAATCTTTTATTAAACAACTTTCAGTTTGTATTGATTTTTTTTTATAAAATAGGGTGTCATTTACAGAATAGATATACAAATCTTCCGGTCAGTGACTTTTTTTTTACTGAAAAATACTATTTTTGTATATACACTTCATTAAAAAGATTTATTTTAAGCCTATGACTGTTATTCACTTGTCCTCAACTAATCATTACTAATTACATAATGATAAATATTTTGGCTATTCAGAAAGATGTAAAAAAACTTTATATTGCAGGGAAGTTCTACTTACTGCCTAGTCGTGGCGGGGGTGTTGATTACGAAATTGGGAGGACGATAAGTGAATGTTCAGGTTGATGGATATGGAGGATCTACATAGTGGAGTTGGGAAACTTTGATTGAAAACCGGTGGCGCACATGGACTCCAGGATCCTGAGGTAAAAAATGGCGTATGAACCAATTATTGGTTTCTGGCTACCATGGGACTGTATCTCCTAACGTTGCTTCACTGTCTTGTGGATCAGACCTTTAGGTCAAAATCTCTAAGTATGGCCCCCTAAGAAAACCACCTGCTTCGGTCTGAGTATCCGTGCAGTATCAGCTCACACACAAACCAAGTAACTTGTGTGGTGCATATGTATTCACTGCTCCTTTGTACCAATAATAATAATTATTATTTTTTATTGAAACTTAGTCACTGACATTCCTAAATGTAAAATTAATGAATACTGAAAAGGTATTAAAAAAAGACAAACAAAAATGTTCATATTAAAACTTACATTGAATTACTAGCATCCCAATAGATTATATGATCTTGATGCTCTGCAAAAATCAATTTTATTAATATCATAATCAATTTTATTAAACATGTCTTGTACATTTAAAATTTATTAATGATTTCAAATGCATTTATATATGATAGAATGGATAAAAATTAATTTGATTTCATGATTTCTGTAGTAAGTTATATTCAAACTAAAACTATATTTAATATACTACTCATATATTTAAAAAATAATAATACACAATTGATGTGTGATTAGCAAAGTTCTAGGTTATATTTAATTGGCTAAACGGTTAGAGGTTAGTAATGCTTAACTAAAATATGATTGGTTGATAAGCTGATTGGACTATTTTATTAATGTTATCCAATGATTATTGCGTAATATTTCGTGTTCACATTTTTTTTTAATATAAAAGGCTTAACCCATAATTGACAATATAAAATATTAAATAAATTCAATTTAATTTATAAGATTAATAGATTGTTACAATGTTATAGGTCTCTACATCAATGTTACGTTTTTGAAAGATTTTCGAATTAAATTTTTATGTATATATTTGTAATAAATTTAGATGTGTTGCATCACAACTTATTCATCTGTACCATGTTATTATCATCAGTTATTGAACATGAATGATCTAAACAGAAACTGAAGTATTCTGGTAATCCATGGTACAAGTACTTCTATATTTTTTAAATGAATCAATGTACATGAAAAAAGATAGACAATTAATCAACTGCGTCTGTAGTTAATGATAAAATTGCTGTTTGATAGACAATAAAAATGTTTATTTAGAAGACGTTATTTTTTAAAGAAGTAATTTGAAATGTCCGGTGATTTTATTTTGATTATATATAGGACACCTTTCAAGTTGAACAACCTTTTCACTGACTGTTTAAAACAATGAATATACATAGTTGTTTATTCAATGTTTAGCTGATTACTGAAGGTAGAATATTATACTTTTTCAAACCGTTGTACGATTGAGTGAATATGATTTATGCAGGCGAATCACCTGAAGTAGCGTAAATAATGTAAGCGAGTGACAATAATTCATATAAAATAGATCTTCCCGAATTTCTTATCTAAAGAATATCGGAAAGCAAGACAAATTAGTTGGTGAGAGGTTATATTGTTTGCTATAATGAGATCAAACATATATAGAATAAAATTATTGATTAAAATGTGTTATGTTTAAATGATGATTGAATTATTATGAATAGGCCGTATGTTAACCGATTGAATTAGATTTCGACTGCTTGTTTCAAGTCTTCGATATTATATCAAAACAATTTATGAGGTAAACTTATCTAAAGTAACCATGGTTCTACATTTTTTGCCACCAAATTACAGCATGTAATATAAATGAATATGTACATAAACACCGTCAAAGTATAATATATCAAATTTTATCTGACATTTAAGTTAAATTGTCATTATCCAGACCAAAGTGTCGATGAAGTCAAGATCATACTTTGACAGGCTTTTCAGTAACGAATGATAATTCAGGTACCTTTGTAGTTTTTTTATGGTTAAGAGATATTTATTACATGTTTCTCCATATTCCCAAAAAGTATATTCTCAAATAATTGTTATATAAGTTATATTATTTATATAGTGAAAGCAAATCCATAAACAAATAAGATTAATACATTCGTCCAATAGTTACTGATATGATGGAAAGAAAAGTCGAGTTTTGATTGATTTACTGATTATGGTTTTTGTTCAAGATTACTTCCGTTTCGATTCAATGTAATGATTACTCAATGTATTATTTATTTCCTTTTCTCGTGTGATATTTTATTCTGTATAAAATGCGATATTCTTCTATCCCACTGACATGAACTATGCTCAGTATGGGATTTGTTATAACTCTAAGTATTTTTCATATATATGATGTCATCCTAATTGTTGATCAAAATGGGTGTACAATCAATATATAAATGAGTGTATTTTCTACTAGAGTTGTCGTCGTCATAGTGTTTTGAGGTTAATAAATCATCACTTATATCAGTCTTTGTGTTCTTACTTTTGCGTCGCGCGAATTGCAGAGGTCACTTGTCCCGAGTATAAGTGATAAGCGTTTCCGAAATAACAATCAGCGACGACCAGTTACAAAATGTAGCATTAAAAGAGCTAAGACAAAAAGCATTCAAACGACAAGTTATAACAGTTACATAGGATTTCAGTCATGAACTTTTAAGTAATGAAAACATGAGTAAGTTTTTATTTGTATCGGTAAATTTATCTGAAGAGATTAACGATTTTCATGTTCCACAGATTTTTATATTTATATATTAAGTTCTAGAAAATAACACGTAGAATCAGGAAACTTTTTTAAATTTAATACTAAAATCATCAAGAAATCTTTGTACAAAGTTCTAATCTTGCGGACACGATCGTGGTTGCGCACTGCTAAGAAGTCTCATACTAAGACAAAATAACAGTCTAGTGCTTTCAGGTTTTCCATGGTAGTCTATGTCTAATTTAATCATGAATTCAAATAATAAAAAGTAAAAATTGCCCATAATTTATGCAATTGCATTTAGTTTCTTATTTTACACTTCAAACAGCTTTAGGGCTTTTTAAAAGTAGACATTTTTGACTGAATTTTAACTATATTATAAAGTAATTAATTAACTTCAATTTATATCAGTAAACAGGTTTTTGTTTTACTCATACTTAATTATGGTCTACAATTAGTGTTCCAATTTCAAGTAGGGAAATTTCAATTATTTATTTTTGTTTAATTACATGAAAATTTAAAGGAATAGTTTTGTTCATTTGAAAGAATAACAAATTACCACGTTTCGTTTTTTCTTAAAATTATATAAGATCGTTAATTGACTGTTTGGTTTTCCACTTTTTCATTATTCAATTCATCAGGTTTTTGCTTAGTAATTTAATAAACAAAGAAACATTTTAACTGAAGTATGTTTGTTAAAAGGTAGAGTTTAGTTTTATACGACAAAAAACCAAATTTGCTTTTTAGAGTTTCCCAGGTGAGACTATAATATATGGACAAGCTTTGAGTTACGCTCAACTGCCCTCGAGAGTGTCCACCTAATAACTAGAACCAAATGACGGTTATAAACCAGTGTGAGGAATTGAAATTATGATTTACAGTTGATGGTTATGGTTGGGATTTATAGTTTTCATCACGACATCAGCTATAATTCCAAAACTCTATTTATCCGGATGAATGAGTGAATTTCACTCCAAAATCCGAGACCTGTTATCTTATACGTGATTGGTTCGTCCATAAATTATCATCTCGCCGTTACCCAAAACTCAATCATTAGACTTCCGTTTAATATTTGAAAAACTGTTTCAAATGAAAAAATAGTTAATTCATTTTGTATTGTTTGTTTGAGTCTTCCCATTGATATTTAGAACTGTAACTGGTCAGTCACTTAATGGCATATGTGCAACTTGTGCGGTTTGCCTTAATATTGCTTTAAGTCATATCCAGATGATGAGTCCTGAATGAAACAAACGCGTGTCCTAGATTCTATTTCTAACCAGCATCCATCTTCGCCTATAAAAAAATGATTAATGTGTAGTTTTTCAAACAGATTAATCTAAAATAATTCTATGTGAGAAATTTTATACTTATGTTAATCAAGCCAAAGTTTAGAAATTTCTGAAAACCGTTAATGTGATTTTGTTTTGAAATACTAAATTACTTCTAAAATTGTGTAATTGTGTAATTGATTGAAGTTATAATTGTAACACTATCGGATACTAGCTCAGTTGTCTGGACGTTAAGTATTCGCTCTTGAGAATTTATTGAAATCTTTTATACTTTATATTGAATGTTTCATCAGTATGTTCGAAAAGTTACAAAACAAATCAATCGTCATTATTGTTCAAAATGAAACAGGTCATACTACTTATAATTATTTTTCAATTTTTATACCATTAAACTATATACATAACTGTGTGCTAATATTTGTCTTAAAAATCTAATTAGCATTTCTTCTTTATTTTTGTGAATGTAACGAAACAATAGATGAAGAATACTAAACTCTTTAGAACAAACTCATTCAATTTTATTTGATAAACAAAAAAAAAATACCCGCTTCGGATCATAAATGAATTTGAAAAAAAATGGAATCAAATTGTTTATTTTTACAAATGACATCAATTGACATAATTATGACAGTTGAATCGATTTAATAAAATAAAAGCAATCATTACGTTATTGATCTGAAATACTCATCGAATAGAACCACCCTTTTGGCATCTAAATTTGAAATGAATAGATTTTGAAGATAACGTCACTCGTTGATCGAACTAGAATTTTAATTCTTAAATAATTTATTCATTCAAAATATTCTTGTAAAATAACTTATCTAATGAGAGAGGGATAATAAAGGATAGGTAAATTGTAAGGTGGAGACAAATCATTGTTTATTTCTATTTGTGATAAAATAATCTTATTGAATAAAGGACTCCCCTTTGAAAAGATAAATTGCACTCTGAAATTACACTCCATCTGATATAACACAAATAGCTAGCGGTACAACAAGTGTAGCTCAGAAATAATGTACAAAAGTCTGTATTTAATAAATAAGTCACAATTTGACAATATACATCGAAAATTAAATTAAATTCGCATAACAGACTAAATTTTTAAGTTGTGGATAGTATCGTTAAGATTATTTAGTCGTTTCTTTTTCCCATCTGAAAGTGAAGTTGAAACACTCAAAACCATTATTGATAAATACATTAGTAGGAAATTGTATGTTCTATCAGCGTTTGTAAAGATGTGGATTTTTGTCACGAATTCGAGATGATTCATCCATAACCACGATCTAACTTCCTGTTCTTTAGTGGGGCCTATGTGACAAGGTGATCTAATTTAAGACACTGAAAATTGAATACACACCTGAGAATAACCCATATAGTAATATAATATGTCATATATAGTCAAATTTCATAGCGTTAACATTTTATCTTAGTTCTTAGTATTTTGGACTCTCTCAGAAGTTGAAGTTACAGATTTCAAGCCTTGGATCAGAATCATTAAATGATGTATATAAGCTATCTTTCTTATCCAAATTATGGAATTTTTCTATGAAAGATGGTAAAA